ATTCCCATAATGTTTAGGTGTCTTCTGAGGATACAGTGACCAGTAAGAAGACCAATGATCTTCCTTATACTGTTTCTGTTAAGCTTTAAGAGCTCCTTTTGACGTACACTAGGACAGTCTCGATTCAGCTCCTTAGCTTGTCTTTGACCGTCAGCAGCGCGCCACTGCTCATGGGCGATCTTGCCGTAGAGCTTGAATATGGTTGCCCTAAATGAGGAGGGAGAAATTCCCAGCGCAGGTTCAGGGCCCCAGAAAATTGCATTAGAGCCAGCCCGTGCTGCTTCGTCAGCTAGCTCATTTCCACCGATACCCATATGTCCTGGTACCCAATGCAGGGATACCTTGTTATGAGTGGACAGGTCACAGAGGACCGAGAAGCATTCCCACACTAACAAAGAGGTGAATTTACACCTTGACAGTGATAGGAGATAATTTTGAATAACTTTAATGATCAGATCGTTACGTTTTAGGACTCAACCTTGATGGTTCGAGGGGGTGACTTCAAGTATGCTTAATAATTAGAGAAAAAAACATACTAAGTTACAAAATACTCAAAAACGGTCTCTCTCAGAATAAATAAATATACCTTTTTCTTACAGATTCAGATTTCTGATTCTACAAAATATAGGGGACAATTGGAGAAATATGGACTCAATAGTTTGATCAGGAGAACGTAGAAATGTCAATTTAATGTTAATTTTATTTTTTTTGGTGCATTTCGCAATATCTCGAGAACTTTGAAAAGGAATTGAAATTTTTTTGTCCACAATTGGAAAATTTGTTTATTTAAAGATTATTCAACACAAAAACCAGCTTTTAATAAATATTCCTTATTTTTTATTATTTTATTTAGTAACTATCTGACAAATTTTGAAATGAAAAGTATAAAATGTTTCTACATCAAAATGTAAGGCACAAATAAAAAAAACTACCATTTCTGACTTCTTTTCAATATTTTTCAAATCAGCACTGGACAAAACTTCCTCATTCGGAATTATTACAGAAACACATTTACCATAAACGTCAGCAACAATACGCAGTTTCTAAACAAGAAAAAAAAAACACTATTTAAAAATGACTATTACAGAAACTTTACTGGCGACACATTAATGCTTTAATAAAAACTTTTTGTGAAACAAAAAGTTAAATACTAATAAATTCAGAGTTATTGATAATAAAAACTAATAAATTCAGATCGCAAATTAATAAAGGTTCTAATGGAAGAATAGAGAAAATTAATAAAGTTTCTAATAAAAGAAGAAGAAAAAAATGCAAAATCAGTAAGAGAGAGTTCTTATTAAGTTTATACTTCTAAAACTAAATAATTTGAATTAATTTAATAACTATTTCTTAAAATATAAAGTTAAAGAAATAGACAGTTAAAGAATATACAGTTAAAGAAATAAAATATTGTATTTCAACAAAAAGAAGCAATTTTCATATTGAGCTTAAAAAAACAAACTAAAATATGAGTTAGTATTTTTTTAAAATATGAGTTAGCATTTTTTAAAGTAATGTAGAGTATTATAAAAAGTATTAACTACCAAATAAATAGTTCAAAGAAACTGAAGCGTTAAGAAATTGCTTGATTAAAAACTTTATTCGCTTAAAAAATATACGAATCGGAAATAACAGTTAACATGCTTGAAGCGCTCATTTCAAAGTTTAACTATTAGTAAACTGTTGTGATTAAAAATCGGAAATAACAGTTAACATGCTTGAAGCGCTCATTTCAAAGTTTAACTATTAGTAAACTGTTGTGATTAAAAAGAATTTATGTTTTCTAATAACTTCATTACTTTCACTTACTTTTGGCAAGTCAATTGCAGCAAGTCCCATGTAATTTCCATTCAAGTAAAAATGTAGACTATCATCTTGCAATACTTTCAAGCCAACAGTATGAGGAGGCTAAAAGTGAGCGAAAAATAAAAAAAAAGAATAAATAAGTCAGAAATAGAATATACCTGAACAAAAAGTTTACATTAGTATTCTTTACAATAGTAATGAACAAACTTCCTTAAGAATGTGTCAAAGAAAAAATGAAATTTACCTATCAGGAATATATTTTACAATATTATAAAATAAATTTCACAATATCAGAGTTATGCTTTACAGTATTATAAACACATTCCAAAATATTAAAAAAAGGACAAAAAAAAAAAAAATAAATAATTGTAAAATTTTGTCTCCTTGTTTCTTGTTGAAGTAAAATTTACTATAAAATTAAGCAACCGTCACGAGTAAAATTTTAATGTATGATAATGTAATTATCTTAGTTTTGTTAAATTATTCACAGAAGCTTTAAAGTATTTATCATGTATTAAGAGTGTTTCTTTACGATCTATGTCTATTTCTAACGTTTTCTCAGTAATTACCCCATTTAATACTCTTAGAATCTTGCATTTCCCGTCATAATATATATAAAAAAAATTACTGGTATTTTGTAGTAGTATGAACAAAAATAACAAACAAAATATAAACGAAAAGTAGAATAAAAAAAAGTTTATTCTCAGATGCACAACTCCTGCATTGAAATATGTGAACTGACACAGGGTTCACAATTAATCTACATAAGCTGACAAAAGTTTTTCACGGATTTTACATTGATTTTTGCTTAAATAACACTAAAACAGAAAATATGTTTGAGACTAAAATTGCTATTTAAGTAATGCAATTTTTACAGATCTGGTAAGTGTAAAAAAATCATTGGAGAATGATTTTAATTTTAGAATAATAATTATGTATTTTATTAAATGCTGCGTGTTTTGTTAATAAATGAAAAGCTAACATTAAAAAAATTAAGAGAAAAATAACCAATAGCAATGGAATTTTTGTTGCAAATCAATTGAAAGTAAAAAAAAAAAGTCACTGTTAAATAAAGAGTAGCAAACTAAAAATGAACAAAAAATCTTCATAGTTAAACTTTCTAACATTAGAAAAGTAACTATTGCCTCATTGACAATCCGTATATCTAGTCTTGACATTTAATTAACATTCCAGCAAAAATTAAGATAATAATATTTTATAAAAACAACAAGAACATATTTTTGATTAGTCTTTAAAAATACTTTAAATAAAGTAAGAAAAATAAAGCTTGGCAGGATGTTAAACTATTTTTTGAAATAAATAATTTAAAATAATAAATAATAAGGACATTAATTTATAAATATTTATTAAAAAATTAACAAAACAGAAAAACTGCATGAGTTTTAAAGATTAAATACCTCTAAAAAAGGAAAAGGTAAAGCATAATTTCTATTGACTTCTTTTCCGTTTTTAAACAGGTGAATGTAAGAAATAACCCAAGTATCACAGTTAGCAAGTGAAAAAACATCCGCAGGTAAACTTTCTTGATCCTCAGGCTCATATGTAGTGACCCCAAATCTCAAACAACCAGTGTAGTCACCACGATAAGTGCTAAGCTGTATCTAAGAAAAAGTCTCAAAGTATTATTAAATTGCAAAGAATATTTTTTAAAAAAACTCACATTTGTAGCAACTTTTATTCATAACAAAACAAACTTAAATATATTAAATTACTGAAAATCAATTATTAAAAAAATGAACTTATTTAATGAGCATGGATAATATATTTTAACATTTAATTTTATTTAAAGATCTTACTTTTTAACAGGCTGAATACAGCTTATTTATGAATATTAAATATTCATATAAAATAGTCAAACATTTCTAAATTAGCAATACAATAAATACTTCATTTTTTTAAAAATGTTTTCCAAAGCTGTTTGGCCAACAACAAAAAAAAAGTTATGGGCTTTAACCTCAAAACAGAGCTTAGATTTTAAACTCTGGATACGATCTGGCCATAAAAAATAATCTTAGGTTTAGAACGGGCAAATAGCTTACACATTTAAACATTATTAAATTTTTCAAAAATTGCCAATTTGGTGAGATTTTTCACAGCTAGATAATAATTATTAAAATCAATGAATAATTAAAATTTTTCATGCACTCAGATAATGCAGTGTTAAATTAACTTTTCAAATATTGAACATTTAGATCATAAAAGCTTTTTAATTACATGTTCATACATGTTCAAGATATTGAACATGTATGTAAATGAAACTGTTCAAACAAAAGGTTAAATAAAATAAAAAAATACTAATTTTACACACAGCATTAGTGCAGTAATTATAAGTACATACTTGCATTTTAGGAGTATAATTTGTATAAAACATCACACTTACTTCATAAAGCTCATTTCTCTCTATATGTGAAGAGCTAAATACTAAGCCATTATTATAACTATTTTTCCTGTAGGCTATAGTACGCAAATGCAACAGATTTATGTATACGCCACAAATTGGATGGAATGAAAAAGGAAGTTCAACTGTTGAAAAATGAAAACAGAAGGATAAATAAAACTAAAATTGTGTTTCACAATTAAATTTTAATGCAAAATATTTTACAATGAAATGTGCATTTCAGTTTAAATATTTTCATACATTAAATTATTTAATTTTTCTAAAGTAATATAAGAGAAATATTCGCATTTTTTAAAATTATACATAGAATCCAGGAAAGATTCAAATACCTACTTTGCATTTTATACCTGTATGAAAACTAAGAACCCTGCGACATGAAAAAGCAGATTCAAATCAACTGTTAGCAAACAAAGATGAAACCATAACCCAATCATCCCAATTTATTTACATAAAGGATAACCGAAAAGCCTGTTTATACGAATGAAATTTAATAGATACAAGTTATCCTATTTTAAACCAAAGCTGAATTTTCTCATTTAAACAATTATTCATGTTTTCTAAGGTCGTTTAAACAATTATTCAGTTCTTTCAAATAAAATAATTAAAGAAGAAAGAAAAAGATTTTTTTTTTAAAAGAAATGTTTCATTAGCTAGAATAAAATTTTCCTTTTTCTCTCAAAATGAGGAGAATGCAATACAGGGTCACTTTAATTGGGATGTCCTATTCATTTCCTGATCCAAACAGGTGTCAGGATAGTTAAAGAATTAATTAAGTCTTGTTAGTTGTTAAATAGCAAAGGAGTGGGTTACACTCTCATTCCATTCAGAATGTAGGGAGGTGAGAAATAGATAAATTTTCAGCTATATGATCAAAAAAAAAAAAAAAAAAAAAAAAACTTCAATTACAGAGAATGCTTAAAATCTTATACACATACAAAATATCATGTAAAAGTAAAATTTCATGAAAACAGGGCTTCTAATATTACCCAATGTACTACCCTAATATAATTATAATCTACACATTTGATTACTGTTATGTGGGAACCGATGGTATTCTTTTAAACAAGACTAACTGTAGTACTAAAACAGTAACATAATTTAAGAATTTTTTTTAATTGGATATACTTTAGTAGGACACACTTTTAATAATAATTGAAAATTCATAACAACAAATCATTTTTTAAAAGATACAAGTATATGTTTATGATATAATGAAATAAATAAATAAAAAATTCTAAAAAATAGGATAACTCAATAAAGTAAGATATTTTTTTCCCCCAATTTCAGTATCCCAAAATGTTGTGCAGCTGACAAAATTAAATGTTTGAAAAAAAATTGCATGCTTTATCAAAAAGTATTTTAGATAAAATGTTACATAAAGCACAAGAAAATACAAAATAGTTCTTTTACTTAACAAAAAAGAATAAAAATCATAGTTTAGAATATTTAAAATTTAAACACATAATCATCATAATGCTGATAAAAATATAATCAAATAGTGAATAGAATTAATATAGAATAAAAATAGAATCAAACAGTATATGAAATGCAATAAAATTAATAACTGTTAAATCATTTAGAGAATAAAATATTTCTGCATATCTCTGATATAAAAAATTTGATGTTAACTCTAGATTCATAAACATGTATAGGAGAAACACGATTCATAGACTATCATCGAACGATTAAGGAAGAATTTTATTTTTATCTTTTAGAAGGTTACAACCGTTTATGAAAGTCTGTATGAAAAATGTTCATGAATCTAGTGTTAAAGAATATGAGAGGATGGAAGTATACTATATATCACCTTCATTATTGCAATCATTCCAACTATCCTCCTCGTCATCAAAATAAATTGCATGTGGTTCATAAGGTTGAGGTTTCACAATTTCATTGATATTGTCTGTATCACATTTTGCACTCTGAGCGCTATTCTTTCTTTCATCAGAAACAGATGATTGGCTGTCAGTTTATTTAATTCATATTATTATCCAGCTCATTAGTATTATGAGTTTTAATAATATGAAAATATATATCAAAACAACTTTAAAGAAATACAATACTAAAATAACTTTATACTTTACATAAAATTAGTTTCAAAGAAATACAAGAACAATTACTATCAATAAAAATTAAATTAGATAACATTGAATATATTTAAGTACCCACATATTAATAAAATCTAACACACATTTTGAAAACAATATTTTATCATAAATATATTAAATTATTTAAATTTTAAATAATATTTAACATGTCCTCCCTCAATTTCAAAACTAGTTTCATTCATTTCGGCATACATTTTAAAGGCTGTTACAGTGCTTGATAATTTTTTTCATATACATACTATATTTGTATCATTGTATACTATACTTATATGATTGTATAATTGTATACTATTTCAACTATACTTGTATCAGCATATCTGCAATTTATTTTTGGTAATATTTGCATGGAGATGGTTCAAAGATTCTCGATGGGATTAAGATCGTGAAATTTTTCAACCATTTAAAAGAAAAGCCACTTCATTTTGGCAAACTATTTTTAAATTTATTTTTGGACTTATGGCAAGGATCCAAATTTTGCTGAAAAATTCCAACTTTAAATGGAAACCTCTAATTTAACTCAGGCTTTATTGCACTGGCAGCTGTTTATCATTCCTTTTACAGACGGAATGGTCTTAAGCATGGAATGAAAAATATTTTCAAAAAACATTTTCTTTGTCCGAAGAAGGAAAAATCTAAAAATGTAACCTTAATTCAATTAATGTACACAGCACTGTATAACAAAAGCTTTAAACCTGAATTCTTTTTTTAGTGTTAAACGTTAAAACATTTTATGTTTAACACATAGTAAAACATAGATATAATTCATTTTGCTACACAATCCATGTGGTTTTATTCAACGATAAAATTAAAAAAAACAAAACAATTTATTCCTAAATTTTTTGCAGTTTTAAAAAGCAAACTTTTGTTGCATTTTACATAGTAAGCAATATTTTTTTAAAAGTTCATTTCAAAATAAATTCTTGGGTGAGAAAAATAATTTAGTTGTTGACTTTAGACAGCAGCTTTAAAAAAAATTTAAAAAAAAAAGGCTGAGAGCCCCTTACCCAACTATATCAAATCTTGCTGACTACTAATTTTTTGGTTTTAAAATTCTTTTCATGTTTTAGAGCTTTATTTCTATTAAAAAATATTGTTTTTTTTATAAAAAGTTTTATTTTTTTATTCCATTTGCATAAAGAGTAGAACCTAGTATCTTCATTAAGTTAGCAAAAATGATTTTTTAATTTAAAATTCACTTTTACAATAATCATTAAAGAGGCTTAAGAAAATAGTCCACAACATGTATGAAAAAAAAAGTTGGGTTGAATAATGATTAGTTTTATTTAGACATGTTTTAATTCATAAGTAAATCAAAAATTTCTATCATGATAAACAAATAATAAAAGGCGATTATATACATAATATATACAAATAAATAATTTCAATTAGTTTATTAGACTAATTTTTTGCACTTGAACTTAGTTAACTGCTGTATGTAACATACACCTTAAGTGTAAATTCACAGGAAACAATATTTGAGTAATTAATAACAATATAATTAATTTTTTTATTTATTTCATACCTAAAAAAATGTGAATAAATAACATGAGAACATGAATAAACATAAATATCTTTGTTTAATCTTAAGCATGAATCAATCTTAAACATGAATACCTTTGTTTGTGTAAAAAATATTTTAGACAAAGGAAGCTAAATAAATTATTACTCTGTAGATAAAACCACAGAATTAATAATAATAGGAAATAATAGCTGATATTTAAATTCAGACACTTTTTGATTGATTTATGTAATTTCAGGAAGTTTGGTTGCTATAGTGACTGTTACAGCATGTTAATATTTCATATTCAATGTCAATTATAAAAAATTAAAAAAATTAAGCTAAGAGTGCAGATATCCTATTATAAAATTTTATTTTAATTGAGTGGTTACATTTTTATTTAAAAGGCAAAGTTTTTAATAAACAACATTAAAAAATAACAAATATAACTTTATTTTACCTCATTTGCAAATCTTCAAAATAATTTGGTTCTGCAGCAAGTGGCATATCTTCAATGAATATTTCAGAATCTGGAAATTTATAATCAAAATAAATAAACAATTACTGATGAGTGATGATTTGTAAACAATAAAATGTATATAATATGATAATCAATTAAAAAATTCTATTTGTTTATAATTCCTTATCTGTAATTTATTCTCAAGGTCTGCAGTGTTATAGCTTCTTAGCTCACAAGATTTATGATTAATATTGTTTAAAATAAAGTGGTAATAAGATATTTTAAAATTTAAACATAATGCTTGTAAAAAGATTATACCCTACGTTTGAAACATTCTAAATTCCCTTCCAGAGTAAAACAAGTTATAGCAAGAAAAAGAACCCTTATAGTTCATGACTTAATAGGGGGCAAAAATCAATGTAAATTAATATCTTGCATTTTATTACATCACTATTGCTACATTTTGCAGAATACTTTTAATTGTAAATCAGGAAATGATAAAAAATTTTTTTAGATAACTTTAATACCTTTTTTAGAATTAACTTACTGATAAATTAACTTACAGTGAAACAAATGTATTTCACACTCATTAAGATAAAAATCTGAATAGAATCTGGAATAGAATAATAACTTTATTCTTAAAAAAAAAAAAAAAAACAGTACCTGCATAGCTGACAATTGATGCTTTTGCTGCTTGGCCATACAAGTCAATTACACCATAAACTCCTTTTGGGATATTAGACACAGAAATTCCAAGATCAATACCATTTACAAAGAATCTAAGTACACCATCTCCATAAACTATCAAACCTATCCTATCACCAGCCTATAAGTTTAAAAGTTTAATCTAAATTAATATGTCTTGTGTATTTCTATTTTTATGATTAGCCAATATGAATAATAAGAATTTAATCCAAGTTAACATGTCTCATGCATTTTTCTTTTTTTCAAATAATTTATTATTTTATTTATAATTATTTTGTCAAGAGATGTTCACTATTTCATGCGTAAATTTATTTGATAGAAATAATGCTTTGAGGTACATAGTCCTAGAATCAAATGAAAGGTATTTTTTAAACCAATGTAAGATAATATTACAAGATAATTTTTAATTTAATAACTTTAGCTCTTTAGAGCAGGATTGCCACAGTAAAAAATGAACAAAAATAGTTGCTTTTAGTAGCCTCAAGCATGAAAATAGTTGCCTAAAACTATAAAAATAGTTGCCTGAACAGGAGCAAAAATTTATCAAAAATAGTAGCCAAATAATTAAAATTGTAGCCTAATTGTCAAATACTATGATAAGGACTTGTTGATGTCAGAAATTTTAAATTGTGATACAATGTCTGTTAGACATCGCAATTTAGCATATGTTCAGAAATTACCTATGGGAAATCAATCAAAAATAAATAAAAAGGAATAAATCTATTACAAAAGAAAATATTAATTCTAAACATATTCTACTATAATATCAATATTATTGCTTAATTTTTTTCAATTAAAATAATAAAGAAGTCAAAGTAAAAGCAAACCCAAAATTTATTTCATTTTTCTTAAATTAAAAATGATTTAAGATTTATTGGTTTAAAAATAATAATACTGTAACAAAATATTTTACATAAGTGCATTAAAATTAAAAGAAAAAAAACGAAAGTAGAAAACAAACCAAAGAAATGTTCACTTTAGAAAAAAAAATATTTTTTTAAAATTATTTGTTGGAAAAAAAACCATGCCTTTGAAACATCATTAGACCCCCTTTTATTCAATTATAAAGTAGTATTAACTAATGGTAATATAAAGTAGTATTAACTAATGGTCAAATTCTGTACTGTATAAATGTAAAAATATTTTTACTTATTTATTATTATTTTCGTTTTTGAAAATAAAATTGACTAAAGATTTATTTCTTTAAAAATGACACTGACTATCTAACAAATTATAAAACAAAGAAGTATTGAAAGAATTTTAATAAAATTTAAAAAAAAAAATACTTTAAGTACTAATGTTAAATTATTAAAAAGCGTCCAAACATTGCTAAACTCTTTATTTAATTTTTTAAAAAAATTTTGCTTTTTTAACTAATAGCCAAATTTTTTTAAAACTTTGTTTTCAGTTTCTCAAAAATAGAAGCAAATTAAATAAAGGTAAGCTTTATTTGAATTTTTTTATAAATAAAAACAACTGAACATTTATTTGTTCAAAAATAATCAAATTATTATGCTTACCTACATTGAATAAATTTGAAAAAAACTAACTTTTAATAACAAAATTAAGTACAAAATACCCCAATTAAATTGTATCGCTTAAAATGAAAAATAATAATTGAAAAAAACCAATGAAGAAACTTTTTAAATTTATATTTTCTTTTCATTGATCTATTGAGTTCAGAACGAAAGTTTAAGATAACAGCGATTGTGCAGCAATCGCAAAGTAACAGTAGGTCTACAAAAAATAAGTATAAGTATAAAAATAACTTCGCTAAGAGTAAAAAAGTCTCCCAATAGTCGCATATTCCTGTAAATAGTTGCTTTTTTTAGCCTTTTCAGGCAAAAAAAGTCGCCATAGTCGCCTAAGGTCAAAAATAGTAGCAAATAGTCGCATTTTAATAGCCTGTGGCAACCCTGTTAGAGTTACATCAATCAAATTCCCTGTCCATCATATTCAAACCTTTTGTATCTGAATTTCAACTGTGTTTGTTAAAATACTAATTATCACAACTCTCTAGTAAGTGTCATGAATTTATACAGGGTATTCTATAACTATCGCCCGTAATATATATTCTTAGAATCATTGTCAAAAATAAAATTAAAAAGTAAACACAGATTGTAGAAAAAAAAACTATTTCAAATCATTATTAAATTAGGGATTGAAAACTACATTATTAGATGAAACTAGTAAGTTTCTAAGAATATTTATTATTTTTTTAGGAAACACAAATACTTGTAAGAAAATTATAAATAGGAGATATAATTATTAAATAAGAAATAGGTAATAGAGAAAAGTATTTAATTACATTAAAATATTATTTGATTAGAAAAACAACAAACTATATGTGATGAGTAAAAAATCATTTCAATAATTCTTCTTATTTCACACTTTACTCACTAGTAAGTGTCTTCTTTTACTTATTTGGAATACAATTTTCTCTTCCAATTGTTTTGAAAAAAGAAATAAAAATCATTTACCAATGAACATAACATTCTATAAACAAAAAATTAAGGAAAAAAAAAAGGAAACATTAAAAAAAAAAGAAAAACAATTAAATGAATAATGATACATAATAATTTACTATTCATGACATATATTATATATTAAAAAGAATCTAACCTTTAGCTTATCTAAACTGGAACCATATTCATCAGATATTGCAGTGCCATTGTGCATAATACCATTTCCAGTCATCATCCATGTACCTGATAATACATTTGTCATAGTACAAGGAAAGTCAAGATCTTCAGCAGAGTGTGTAGTTACTCCTATTTCAATCGTACCAGCCCATTTCATAACTATTTGTTCTAAGAGAACTTCAAAAATTTCTCCAGGTTTTAATGGTCTGTTTGTTATAACAACAGCATTATTAAAATCATCCAGGCACCTGTAAGAAATTTTAATCCAGTTCAACTAACTATTATTGCCGTATTTTTCCTAGTAAAAATAATTTAAATGCAATTTAATGAAACATACAAAATGCCAAACAATTCCATGCATAAAAAATATACAGGGTTTTTATTCCATTTCAGAAAAAAAAATTCACTGTCTTTTTCCAGGTATATCAGGAAAATTTCGATGAAAATCCAGACCACATTTTATCAATAACATGCAATTTTTCATCAGAAAAATTTGATTTTCACTATTTGTAATGTCAAACATTAAATTTTGAGAACAAAAAATTATCATTGAATGAGAATGGAAACGTGAAAAAGTTTGTCAACAAAATTATGTAAAATTTTTACAACAAATATTTGTAATGAATATAAGAATTATTTAACTCGAATATCAAAATAACTGATTTTTTCATGTTTTTGTAAAAAAACAAATTGCAACTTTCATTGACCATTCCCTGCTTTTTAGAGTCAAAATATAATTTCAAAATTTAATATAAGGACGATTTTGGTTTTCCCTGACCAGTGGGAGTCCTGTTATATACAAAATCTACTGGTATTTGCTTTTATTAATATCGTTAAATAATATGCTTGAAATTTCAAATAACTATTAATATTTTCATCTTAAAGTTAAGTGAAGCGTTACTTAATCCCATGGAAAAAAAAAACTAAATGAAATGTCGTAACTGTGGTGCAGAAAAAATATAATAGCAGTTCAAGAATGATTTCAGGACGTAAAATATCAGTAATTATTTTTATAAGAAGAGCTCTATCATATATTTTTACAATACTGATCAACAAAGTGGTGAAAAATATAAAAATAAAATGTTAATTACTTTAGAATTATGAGTTTAATAGCATCATATTATAATATCTTAGTTAAAAAAATCAACTGATATATGTTTTTAAAATTATTAGATCCATATAAAAAAGGCAATTAAAATTTATGATTTGAAGTTTCCAATTCAAAAATCTGCTCAATCTACTTTTTTATTCGGAACTCAACAATTTAAAATTTTTTGGCTGTCCCCTGCCTAAAACAATAAAACTAACTTCAATTTTACCTTTTTTCACTTCAACATTTTCTTTCTTTTCCTTTGATTTTTACTATAGTCTACTTCCATTTTTATGCAATATGAGGGAGGTATTTACAATTGAATTGATTTTCAAACCAGTCAATCAAAGATGGTGATTAAAGATTTGCTCGATCAACATTAAAGAAGAAAACAAAATTGATTTATTTTTCTTGTCTATAGTAATGAAATCTAAAATTTATGTAAAAATTACATAAAAACTAAAAAAGGACTCTTTTTCGTTTCTCTGTAAAGGTTTCTGATATTTGCATATTTCGTAGCAAAAATAAACATGGTAAAGGAAAAATCTCATTTTGAAAAAGGGAAAATTAAGCACTTTTTAAAAACACCCAATGAAAAAAGCACCTTTAAGGGCTTTTAAAAAACGAAAATAACCACCTTTATGCACTTTTTAAAAATGCTACGCACCCTGTAGGATAATATTATAGCCTTCCTGATCAGTTTACACTCAGAAATACTGAATTTCAACATTTTTATCAAAACCTGAACAATGACAATAACTGAATGCAAGTCAAAATAACTCAACGTGTCTTTCATTTAGCTGATAAACTTGAACTGAATCTCATCAATGATTCATATGTTAACAAGTAATTTTTTTTTTATATAAGTCAACAGTTTTTACCTGCTGTATATAGCAAGAACATTCATAGACTTAATATTTCATTAACATACAAGATCTCTGAGTTCCCCCATTTATTAAATCGAAGCTACAGTATAAGATTTAAGTGTAATTCTAAATCACACTTCATAAACCACATTAATTTTGTAAATAATGTAAATTGCAATAAAGAAATGTATGTAACTAAGGAAGAACTATTTCCTTTTTACATTATTTGTTTAATTATTTACTAAGAGGTTACAATTTTGAAATCGAAGTAAACCAAAATTGTTAAATTTGTTTGTAATTAGTTCTATTGTTCATGACAATTTAAATTTTTTTCTGTAAATAATAAATGCTTAAGCATATGTTTAGCAAGTAAATTTAAAGGCTTGGAAAATTATCTATACAACACAAATTCTATAAAAGGCAAAGTTTAACATTCAAAAGTTTGTGTCATTAAAACCTTCTATAAATTTCAAATTATTTTTAGATTTTGAAAATTTACCTAGGTCGATAAGCTGTGCGACCTTCATTTAATACTAAAACATGGCGTCCACATTTTGGGTTAAATTTCAGGTCATCATATCTTATACCAAATTTTTGAGCTGAAAGAAATCACATAAAAAAAAACAGCTATTAAATGCACTACTTTCAAATAGTTTTTACAATAGTAAAATATAAGCTTATAAAAATTAGGAATAAAAATAAAATTATGAATTTTCAAAATAAATATGGACTTCACTCAGAGGTTACATGACATTTTCACGACATTCAAATTAGAAGAAAATATTCTAAAGCACTAGTTATTTTTGCCTTTTTAGCAGAGTTGGAAAATTTATTTGTTAAAACTGGCAGTACATTTAAAAAAAATTACAAAAATGAAAAACTTGTATTGACTATTAAAAATTACTGATTAGTTATTAATTATATTTCACAATTGCTATTATAAAAGTTCATGAAAGAGGGTCACATTAGCATTATTGCAAAATTTGTTCAAAAAAGCAAATATTAGTATATTTTCAATCATCAATATCAAATATATTCATTTCGTTTAATAGATACTCATCAGTTAATTACTTTTGAAAATCCATACTAAATGTATTCATTACATTCAAGACATAATCTTTGGACTAGATTACTATTGAAAATATTAAAAAGATTTAGAATAACTAACTGTTACACTAGTAACATTGCTTTTTTTTCAATGCATTTTACTACATTTGTTTGTGTAGTGTCATTCTTCAACTTAATGAACTTTGAACTTAATGATCTTTCACCACTTGCCACGAAATACATGGTAGAGATAAAATCTGCTGAAGGTGCTGAATCCCAGCCGAGAAGAGACTGGACGACGAGTTTTAGAGAGCGCCACCTACAGAATTTCTAGTGGGAGAGGACAGGCCTGTACTTTACGTTTGTGAGTGAAGATGGCAACGATGGTTGTAGCGTCCCGACAAGTAATTTGAGAAGCAGATGTGGGTCTGTTAACGAGAGAGGTGGTGACCGGGGCTTAGGCCTCCGGTGTGTGTGTGGAAAAGTACGTTGTTCTGTTGAAAGAAAAATTTGCCGGAATGGCAATCTCACTTCATCTTTTAATGTTCCCCTTTAATGAAATATCAGTTTTACAGATATGAATATAATTGTATTTTTTTATACCGTCCTTTTAATTTTTTTTATTTTTGGATCACCTATTGAACTTTCCTGTGTTTTCACGAAATAAAAGATTGTGTAAGTTAACCTATATTTTTTGTCGTTTCTCCTTTGCTGAATATATTGTTTTTTGATTTTTATTCTAGCTTCCTTATTCAAAATCTTAATTGTTCTTTTCCAGAGATAAAATGAACTATCCACTAATACGTCTTTAAGACTGACCACCACGTGTGGTGGTGCATTCTATTCAGGGTTAACTTTAGTTTGATCAAGGAATCGTAAGATCTACTAATTTTATTTCAATTTATTTAGTATGGTTAAATTTAATTAAATCAGTATTATTTTTTCATATACTTGTTGTACCATAATTTTTATTTTCACATTAATTAATTTAAGCATCATTAATTGATGTACCTTAATAAATTCATTTTCCTAAATGTTATTTTTGGTACCTTAATATAATAGTTTAACCATATACCTTCAAACCCCAACATTTAATACTAACAAAACATGATCTGAACTTATTTAGGCTTCAGATTTAAGCTTGTACAGTTTAGACAAAACTTTTAAAACCTGATAGTGGGTAATAGAGAAATCTGGAAGAAATTTGAGTATGCTTTCATATGAAGAATTACAGCCAAAGTCATAGTTAAAATAATTGTTTATGTTTATGAAACAAAAAATGAAAAAAATACTGATACATTTTTCAATTATTATCAGTTTCCCCAAACATGTTCTTAAATTATTCACATACAGATTCTTAAATTATAAACAAATATGAAGTCTGAACGTTAACTAAATAATAATTTATGTAGTAGCATAGGAACAATAAACAAAAAAGTGACATGAATAATATCCTAATATCCAACAAAGGAAAGGGCATACTTTGTGCTATGTAGACTGAAGCAAAAAACAATATGAATAAAGCACAAATGAAATTAAATAAATGGACATACTATAGTTTCCATTTAATACTATAATGTAATTCAATTTATGTATTCCATTTATAATGTATTCAATTTATTATCCTTCAGTGGACTGATCGTTAAGAAACAGTTAGTCTCAGATCAACGAAGTCAAGCCTCACTGACTGCAGTTAGTGTGAGGGAGGGTAACCACTTCGATCAACCTGTGAATGGTCCACGTTAAACTGTTCTACCGTAAAGTGCTCAACTTTGCGTGCAGGCCGACTGGCTACTGAACAGGGGGTGCCATCCCCTCTGCAGAGGATCAAAATTTTGGTGGCATGTCAAAATTTTGGTGGCCTCAAGGATGTTTCCCAGACAATAGCCCATTATGTAGCTCTAATTCAACATAAATGAACTAAAACAACATCAATTTATTATTATTTTTAGTTAGTATATCCATTTATGTAATTTTATTTGGACTTTATTCACATTTTATTTTGCTTTAACATCCTAATAGTTTACAAGAAATATAATATAATTCATAATTACAAACTTTAGTAATTTCAATAAGAACCTCGAAAACAAGAGTATCCATATAAATAACATCCATCTAAATAGAATCCATTTTTAAAAATATACAATCAATTCTACCTTTGAGATTTTAAGCTTTTCATTAAAAAGAAATTTTAATAAATAGATAAAATAAAAGAAGGAATTAAGAGGTAAAAAATAATGATTTAAAAATTTTTGTTTACAATACTTAAACAACCAGATATGAGATATTTACTCTTTAGACAAAGATAGGAAGAAAAAAGATAAATATGAAACAAGAAAAACAAATAATAAAAAAAATATATATATTGCAAACTACTTATAATTTTCGAATTCCTTTGGTATATATATACATATTTAATAAATAGGATTGTAACATACTTATAAAAAAACATAAATATAACCTTGATAGACTTCTTTTCTGAATTTTTTTTTTTAAAAAAAAGAGAAAATTTTTCTTGATCTAATAAATTAACAAACATTTTTAAAATAACTTATAAAATAAAAGCTATTCTTACGTGCATGTCCAGATGAGGCCATTTCCATAACTGGGTAGACAATAGGTCTGATATTGTCTGTAAGACTAACTTTTACAGTCATACCATACAGATCTACTACACCGAACACAACATCAGGAACTATTTCTGCAGCAATACCTTGATCATACCCATTTATATAGTAATACAGTTTACGATCAGATTTTATGGCAAGTCCAATACGGTCGCCTTCCTACAACAAAATAAAAGAAAGTAATTAAAAAAAATAATAATATAACAAACTACGAAATAAAGTAACCATTAAAAAAAAAATAATAAATTTAGTTCATGAAACATGTGGCACAAAATTTAAATTCACCATCACACTGCAAAAATTAAAACAGAAAAAAAGAGCAAAAAGAAATAGGTATTTCATGTTAAATGCAAATCATTAATAACGAAAACAGCTACAACTAAAAATATAAAATTTAGTTATTGAAAAAAAAAAAAAAAAAAAATAGAACTTTTAACCAGCTGAGTATTTCACATAAAGAAAAATTCCTCTTATAATTTATACGCAACTTTCTTACTTGTGCTTAATACATAACTTTCTCCTTAATACAAAAAGCAATGGGTTTTCTAGTTTCTTGACTGTAAAATGAGATAAGGAAAATATTTTTTTGGAGAAAATCCAACAATGATGAAAAATTAAAAAATGACTTTCAATGAAGATAAAATTCAAAAATACTAATATATATGAATATTGGTTTAAAATTTTTTCATAAATATATTTATTTTTCATAAAAATGTGTGAAAATTTTTAGGTTTTAGTATTTAGTTACATAGTTGAAAAAGTGGGTTATGTGTGTCGTATCTTATTTGTAAAATTTTTTGAATATTAACGAAAAGCTAGATTTGGGTGACTTATCTACTTTAAAAGCTGACAAATCTAAAATGAAATAACAGTCAACATAAATATTCAAAATTGACAAATCAAAATCAGTTAAAAAAATTTCACATAATTATGAGAAAATTCTATCAATCCAATCATTAAATCAAACATTATTTATATAGATTTTTATACAGACATCATCAAACATTATTTATAACATCATTTATATAGGTATAATAAAATATTAGGAGTTTTACAATTAAACATTGAATAGTTCATGTAAGAAAAAGTAAATAAAATTATTTCAAGCAGAGATATATAAAAAGAATAAAGTAAAAAGAATGATATAAAACAAATAATATGGAAAGAACAACATAAAAATATAAATGCATGAATAAAACCTGCAGTATTCAGAATTTTTTATTTTTCATTAAAATTAGTAATTTAATAAATAAAAAATTTTTGACAATAAATGGTGTTTTAACGGTTGAAAATCTGAATCTATTTTGGCATTTATAAAATGTAATCATTTGAAGAACATTTTATCAAATATTTACATCTTTAGCTTAAAAGCCTGAAATACATATATGTATGAAAGTTTTATAGGTAAATAAAATACTAAAATAATTATAAGTAAACAAAATAATACATTCAGCTCGTGTACGTTAATAAAAACTTAAGATTTAATGTTATCATTAAAACCCGAAAATACCGTACACAATAATTGTATTTAGATATTTATAAAAAGTAATTACTTGAAGATCATCTAAGTTGTATTCGCCATATTCTCTTCTACAGCCTTTTCCATTTGTAAGAATACCTGACCCACTCATCATTATGGTTCCTATTAATAATCAAGTTATATTACTCATTACAAACGTCAACACTAATGAAAGAAAAAAAACTAACTATAGCTTAGAAAGATATAAATAGCAATGTAATTTTTTACAATTTTTCATTAAATTGGTCATATTTAAAATAAATTTATTCAGATTATTAAAAAAAAATATATCCCAAATTGATGCAATAATATAATATTTAAGAATTAGCAAATTTACAAAGAAAAATTCTATTAAATGTTAATCTTCTTACAATTTAGGATTAATAAATAAAACATTATTATTAAGTTATAGTGCCTTTCACTTTTGTTCAATAATAATGTACATCACAAATAATGTATTTTTAAAACATTTAAAATTAGTTTTGGTTTTAAAAAAAATTGCTTTATAATTGTAACATTTAACACATGTATCGATTTTTAGTTAAATTTCTAAACAAGTTTTTTTTGGAACTTTTATTCAGTTTTAATATTTTCTGCATTATTAATTTTCTCAGTCAAATTTCTATTGAATATGCAAGCACAAGAATAAATAATTTATAATCAAAAAGAAATTTTTAATTTAGGAAAATAATACTGTGATGAGTTAGCAATATAATGTGTGTTAACTTTGGAAGTTTAGGTATGATTTCAAAAGATAGAAAAAAAATGTGCACTATTTCATTTTCTAAAAAATCAAATTTAATACTTTCAATAATAAAAATTCAGACATTTCTAACAAAACAAACAAATTACAAATGTTACATTTTCATAACTAAAATTATTATACATAACATACTCACCAGATGTTAGATTAGTCATTGTTGCTGGAAATTCAAGGTTATCAGGATTGTGTATAGTTACACCCATTTCTATAGAGCCAGACCATTTATTGACTAGTTCATCAATCCTTATCTAGGTACAAAAAAAATTATTTTATTGGATATTGAAAAATGAAATATTAAAAATACAAACTTAAGTAATTTAAAAAATCAATTATTGTCTTAGTAAAAGTAATAATCACAATTGATAAAATAGGCTATATATAAACAAAGATTGAAAGGGTTAGTATTGCTATCTAGATATAAGCATCAACTAACACAAGATTTAAAGCATCAACTTACATATTGTCTATGAAATTTTTGGAGTCATTTATTATTAAAATATATTCAACTGAGTTAAGAGTTTCTCACACATTGAAAATATACTATAAGAAATGCACAAAAACATCTATATCAACTTATTAAAAATACTATAATTTATGCCTTGAAATGGGAAAACAAATCTTTCATAGTAAAGTAAATTTAATTTGACTGAAATGGTCAAGGTTCAAATTTTAATAGATATATCGATCAGGAACAACATTGCATAAACTTAATTTAATAACTTGGAATACAGAGGGCTTCAAATTTATATTTTTGTAATTGCATGCTTCAGGGAAAAGAGGAGCAAAAGTGGGAGTGAATGAAAATTATTTTTCATATAACGAATAAGATGATTGTTAAATGTTCTTTTTATAAGATGATGGCTTTTGTATTTTTATTTTCAATAATTAAGAAAAGTAACAGATCAGATAAATTGCATTTGTTCACATTTTCATTTAGAATTATTTAATATTTTCTACACCAAAATTTGAGTTTTGACAGTAATCTTTAAATCAAAAAAAGGGTTTAATATCAAAATAATTTAAGAATATAATTGATTTATTACTAGTAATCTTATATGTATGTTTATTTATAAATACTTCATATTTATAATAGATAATAATTATCCTTACACTAAAATTTTGGATTTTGACACTAAGTGAAAAAGCAAAAAACTATGCCAAAAAGGAGTTTTTGACATGACGGCTAAAGCCAAGGATAAAACCAGATAAAATCGTCGATTGTCAAAAACTTGCCAACCTTGAGTTAAACATTAATAATAATCACTTAATACTTACTTCAAATAGCTCATTATCAAGCAGAGGTCTGTGTGTCATCACAACTCCATTGTTGAATTCATCAATTGGTGTTCTTCTTTCAGCAGAGCGATTATCATTTGATAATCTAACCATGGTGCCACAATGTTCATGAAACCGAAGTTTATCAGGAGGTCGTGTAAAACCAAATGCTGTAGAAATAAATATTCATGCATTAAATGTTTAACTAAAAATTATTGATCACTTACTTCCAAAATATAGTTTATTTTTTAAAGTTATTATCAAAAGGAACAGTTCATATTTAATCTTATTACTTTAAAGGGGGTTTGGCACTTAGCAAATTTCTGCCCCTGCACGTTGGCTATAAAAACACACCATATGATAATAATTATGGTATAGATATAGATTTTAAATAGATTCTTTTCTTTTTTTTAAAATTTAAATAAACAGGAGAACATGGTAATCTTTAAGTTCATAAATCAATTGTAGCTAACAGCCAAATAAATTCTTTTTTAAAGATTTCTTTCTTATTATTCTCTAAAAATATTAATCAAGAATTTTTTCTTTTCTTTCCTCTTGTTCAATTTCACGTGTACCTATTTATTTTTTTATAATTTTTTAATATAAATGTAGTTAACATTGTTTTGAAATTTTTTACTTTTTATTAGATATATTTTTTATTGTTTATTACATATTGTAAATCATTATTATTATTACACTCAATAGGATCATCCTCCTGGTGATGAACATTTTTATTAAATGAAATCGTCGCAAATGAAGTTGTCCTCTGCCCATTTTACTCAACATAAATTTTGCATGCGTAAAACTTACTCAATATCTAGAAGTTTTGATCATGATCTTTCAAAATATACTAATATATTTTAAACTTTTATAACTAGACTGTAGGCTGTTTACATAAAATAAACACAGCAGTGTCACTATAATATAATATCATATCCTTAATATTTCATAAGCAAGAAAACTTGTAATCTTTAATGAAACTAATATCAGTGATTATAATAAAACCTTTCAGAACTTTTACAAGGATATACCTAAAAACCAAAATGAGCTTACTTAAATATTCTCTTTCGATAATTGTAACTTGAGCACACTTTCCATACATATCAACGACAGCATATATAAATCCTGGAACATTTTTAGCAGCTACTCCGTGATCAATACCATTTACAAAGAAATGCAACTCCCCAAATCTTGTTCGCATAACTCCCACACTATCTCCTTCAGACAAGTCATCTAGATCATGCCCATAATCTTCAAGGATTGATTTTCCATTTTCCATAATAGAACTTCCAGACATTACCCAAGATCCATCCCGCAAATTTGTTGCACTCGACGGGAAGTCCAAAAAAGTAGGATTTAAGTTCGTAACCCCAATTTCAATTGAACCACTCCATGTGGAAACCTACAAATATAGTTAATAAATAAAAGTAAAATCAAGTAATGTTACAGCTAATTTAAATATAGCATGAACAACTCAGTAAATACAGTACAAAGTCCCATATCCCCGGAAAGGGTCTATTTTTTTTAAACACATTTTAACAATCAAAATAAAACATTTTTCCCTTTTCAAATTTTTTTTTTTTTACATATGTTTGAGATCTGTTAAAAAAGTATGAAGAGATGAAAATCTTCCGCTATTTTATGATTTTAGCTCGATTTCTGATTTTTGTTGGCTTTTGATCCGATTTTCTATGATAAAAAACTATTGTTATGCTGCAAAAACGGAAGCATTATTTTGCAGTATGAAAAAAATCACAGACATCACAGAAAAAAACATACGCAGAGAGTTATAGTATTACAGTGTTTTCACTACAGCGCGAGAACGCGAGAATCTCGCATATTTTTTTATATTCTCGCATTAAAAAATTATTACCGCGAGAAATTCGCGCAAACTATAAACCAATTTCAAAATTTGCGAATTTCTCGCATTTTGAAAAAAATTTCTCATTTGCGCCATTTAGAATAAAATCCGGGTAATCCGGTAGTGGTTCAATGCTTTTATTGTCAGAACCTTTAAGAACAACAGAACACCATCCTTCTGAACCACGGAACCTCTTTCAGAACTCTGCAACTACTTGTTTACCGTACGTAAGGTTTCTTCATGTAAGATGTTCAAATTTTTTGCTCGTAAATGTAAGATGGACAAATACCTTGCAAAGCCAATATCTTCTACTCCGAAACGGACAAATGAAAATGAAACAAATGTGGGTAGAAATGATCAAAACGAAACAAATACGCATTTGAGCAACCTAATGAGAATAGCTGATGAAAAAGTAGATGTGGAACATTTTCCATATGATGATGCAGCAAAAATATTCAATGGTTTAAAAATTAGAAGATGTTAAAAATGCATTATAATAAAAGAAATAAATTTTTTTCAAGTCTCTTGGTGTTTTTTTTTTTTTTTTTCAATTTTTGAAATCTCACTTAACTTTTTGAAATCTCACCCTGTTTTTGAGAAAGGGTGAGAAATTCTCACCCATTTTTTTTCTGAGATGAAAACACTGGTATTAGTATATCAAAAAAGAAACCGAAATGTTAAGAAATACATAGAAATCTTAAACTGTTAAAAATGCCATAGGCAAAACTACGTTGACAAAAATTTTCACAAATCAAGTGCCTCAAAAAGTGATTTCTTCAAATGCCTGATTCAAAATAGCAATACAGCAATATTATTGAGCTGTAATATAAAAAATCAAGTTTTTAAAAACCTTACGAAAATCCGCTGCAATATCTGAAATACGATAGATAAAACTATTATGGGTGAATTGTCAATAATGCACAGTGTAAAAAGTAATTCTATAAATGCGCGATTCAAAAATTTTCTGTGTCTGATAATGAAGTATTAAAGAATGATTTAAAAACTAGGAAAATCCAAAGCAAAAACTGACAAAAATTTGATCAAAAATCCTGGCATGATTGTGGATGAATCCCTAATAATTAAGTAAATAAAAAAGTTATCATTTAATTGCCCAATTTAAAGTACACCAAACGAAATAGTATCGTATTAAAGCACCAAAATTTGAAAAATCATGTGAAAAACCAGAAAATGGAGGGGGGGGGGGATTTATCAAGTGAATTCACTGCTGAATCGTCACTAATCGAGAATGTCGAGAAATAATTAAACAAAATGCTTGACTTGGAATTCGCCACATGTTATAACAGCATATAAAAATATCGAGATTTTAAAAACAAGGTGGAAATTAATTTTCAACGCTGGTTGCCAAAATCATGATAGACAAACAACATAGATTTATACATTGTTGAATGAAATTGATGTTAAACATCCTCTTTTTGTTATTTTCCATGAAAGGATACTTTGATGCTTATTAACATGAAATTCCAGTGTGAAATACCATTGATTCCCGATATGGGACTTTCCAGTGTATATGGAAGCTTTTAATTATTTAAACAAGGATTATCTTTTCCCCTATTACCTATTAGCACGAAAGATAAAATTGAGGGCTGATACTGCTTCATGTGACCAATTTGTACTTATGCATCACAATTAATAACTTTGAAATGAAGTTTTGGAATTGGTGTGCACTACTAGAAATTGATCTTGCATTAATTAGATGAATTCTCTTATTATTTCATGATAAAGAAAATACATGCTAGATTTTAAATTCCTGTTAGAGCTCACACATTTCAGGTTATTTTATATTTTTCACACCTCAAAGTGAAATTTTTTACTATGACTGTAACTTTTATATAAACTTAAAAATAGAAATAATTTAAAGTGCTTTTTTATATTAAATTTAAAGGAAAATTCATGAAGCAATGAGTTAACAGTTAATTAACTTAGATGTTACAATGACACCAATAGTTATTATTTTATGCGCCAAAGTCTTTAGCAAATTCTTTCCATTTTATGATTATAAAATCCATATTTTGAAGTATTCATTACAACATCTATGAAATTACCATAAAAACAATTAAATGTTTTATGACACTTTGTGATAATTTTAGTATTGCACTTATAGTAACATTATGACACTTTTATATTTCTAACCAAATTTTAAATATAGACAGCCTTAAAAAAATTACAATATAATGGCTAACTACTATTAAAGAGAATATGTTTGTTTCGGTAGCTGAGCTAAAATAATTACGATGTTTTTGACAATGAGACATTAGATAAATATCACAGAAGGGAACCTCTCTTAAAGGGTATAACAACATACAAACCACTACACATTGTTTTTCAAATTTTGCAAACTAAAATCGAGCATGAACGTCTTCTTTTCTTTTTATAATGACTCTGTGATGCCTTAGAAATTCTATTGAACATGTATCGATACTAAAATATCCCCCTACAAACCCAGCACCATTATTTTGTTAGTGAATAACAGTTCATGTTAACATGCAATTGGTGAATAACATAAAATTTTTGGTGAAGATTAATTCATTAAGCAGTTAATAATTGCCAATAAATAACACCACAAATCCAGTTTTTTTAATAAAAAATAAATTGACTCAAAAGAATAATTTATAAATTCTTAGAAAATTCTGTAAATATGCTATTTTTAAATAAATCATATAGTTATTGGAGAGATTTACAAAGCATGATCTGTGGCAGAATAATTGCCACGTCTTGGCAACTTCCATAACTTGCAGCTACCCCCAGGCAAACACCTACATGTTTCATTGGGGATATTTCAGGATCGTGAACTGTCGCGCCAGCTATAATTGCCAGGGTTTCAAACAGAATTTAAACTTGCAATTAAAGAAGAAAAAAAAAATTAGATATTTGCCCAGGGGAGGGGGGAGATTTCTGTATCGTGATCTGTGGCAGAATAATCGCCAAGCCTTGGAAACTTCCGGGCCGTGGCCTGCGAGAAACTAAAAAAAAAAAACACCACAGAAAGGGACCAATTCGAATGGTATAACTCTCAGTCACCCCCAGGCAAACATCTACATGTTTTTCTTAAAAAATGTGCAAGTTTAAAATCTATTTGGCACTTTCGATATAGTAGTTGGCGCGACAGATCACGCTACGGAAATATCCCCGGGGGAGGCTACGATTTATACCTTTCGAGTTGGTCCCTTTCTGTGATGTTTTTTTTTAGCTTCTCGTGGGCTGCTGACCGGAAGTTGCCAAGAATTGGCGATTATTCCGCCACAGATCCAAGATACGGAAATATCTCTTTTTTTTTTTTAAATTTGCAAGTTTAAAATTTATTTGGCACCTTGGCGATTGTAGTTGACGCGGTAGATCACGATACGAGGAGGAAATATGCGCAAAATATGTAATGTAACACAATTTTCTGGCTGACCGGAAACCGATATTTGTACAAGATTTACATTAAAAAATATACACAAGTCATGTTTATATGTATTCACATCTTAAAGAAATGCATAATTTATAACTTAGTATGTCATATTACGGGAAAAACGTTTGAACATTAGAGAAGTTTTCACTTTATATCTAACCTTTTTATCAATTCGCACTTCAAATAATTCTTCATCTGCTAGAGGTTCACTTGTCATTACTAAAGCATTATTAAATTCTTGGTGAGGATTATTTCGATAAGCAGTTTTATCATTATTAGTTAGGGTAACCATAAATCCAGTCTTTTTATGAAAAGAGAAACCCATTTCTTTTTGGAAAGAAATGCTCAATTTATGAAAACATTATGTGTATGGTCATAGCATGAAATCATAAGCGAATCTAAATATATTTGAAGCATTTGTTTGAGATTGCTCAAAAAATAATAAATTACACATATTTATTATAGTCCAAGACGGAATATATTTGAATTTCAAATTACTGTAGAGCAGAGGTTAAAGAGAATGTAAATAAACACAGATAAGTCGAAGTTTAAGTTTTAAACAAAACTGAATATAATCTTTCCTCCTTAATTTTGGATTTAAATTAAGATAAAAATCCTATTAAAAATTATAAAAAATTATTTCATTTCAAAGATAGATTCTAAAAAATTGAATACTTTTTAAGAAATAATTAAGCAAACAAATTTTTTAATTGATAACGGTAACCGTTTTCTTGGATAAATTGGAATTTCGCAAATCCAAACTTTTCCCTGTTTTTAAACTTTATGAACTGAGAAATAATTGTTTGCGAAGCTATTTAGCAAACGTTTAAAGATTTATGAACAAAAACTGAAAATATCTGAATATACAATTGATAAGCGGGGATTGAATCGAACAGCCGGTGCAAACAATCAAAACAATCAGAATTGAAGCTCTCGTGCTCCAGTGACAAGAAAATAAAATTTGTATTAAGGATCAATAATGTTTTTATATTTCATTACTTTCCTACTAACTGTTCTTGCTTATATTTTTATAAGAAGGAAAAGATATGATCTTTCAAATGAACATTGCTTGGTAATAGTTTAAATGGTTTATAGTTTTTAATAAATAATTAAGGTTTGAAATTGCTTAAGTATACTAGCATTAAACTGAATACTAGTGGTGCCAGATCTTAATCGCCAAAACTATTTTTACTGATGAACTTAATAAGTCAAAAATAATTTTGTATCAGTGTTAATAATTTAGGTAAAATGGTCATTTGGAAGACTCTTGAAAAATTTGGATTATAGCACATCTTATTTTATAAAAACTATTTTTTAAAGAAATGTGTTTCATTAATGAAGGTTTTCCTTTGCTGTGTTTATTGCTTTTTTTTTCTTCCAAGACTTAAAATAGAAGGTGGTGGGGTATCAGGGCACACATTAAAATCTTAAGCTATAAAATATGCATAAATATATAGATTAAAATTGCCGGAATCTTAGTGAAGCTGGATGTTAGCTTATTATCTAAAAGTGGATCCGAAGCATTGATAATTTTTCGGCTATTTCCTTTGTAATTTCTGCCATTTTATCATGATTATCTAAAGTCTTTGAAAATTATTTTGCATTTTGTTAATGTATATAGTCCTTAAAAATATTTTTTGAGTGCTTAAAAAGTACTTAAAAGGTGCTTATTTTTTGTTGAAAGATTTCGTTACGCACCCTGTTTTTGTAATTGGTCGCAGTGTATATTCCTGGAGAAGGACTTCCAGATTAGAGAAAGGAATAATAAAAATAATCATGATTATTTTTAGTAAAAATTTGAATACTTTTATTTATTGTATTTTTTAATGAGAATTAAATGTTTAATTTTCAGATAACTGGTGGTACTAGTGGAATTGGTTTAGCTTTAGCCATTGAATGTGCCAAATTAGGAGCATCTGTAACAATTCTGGCTCGTGGAAAGGTATAATTTTTTTTTAAAGACATAGTATTTATTCTTCTAAATTAAGTTAATTTTTTTTTAATTTAAAAGGATTTTTTTAGCTCTATTTGATTTGATTCTTTAATGTTTATTATTTTACATGAACTATGTGACTGGTAAAAAAATAGTGTTCTTCAGTAATGGTTAGTAAGTTATTGTTCTAAACCTATATTATGTAAGTTCATGGGTTATAACTAGGACTGGGCGATGTAAGAAATTTTATATCGTGATACATCGTCTGCTAGACGTCGTGATATAGCGATGTATCACAATTTATCATATGTTCAAAAATTATCTATCAGACATCTTTAAATTAATCAAAAATAAATAAGAGGAATAAATCTATTGCAAAACAAAATATCTGAAGTAAAAACAAACCCAAGCTTTATTTTATTTATTTTCTTTAAAATTAAAAAATGACTTGAGATTTATTGGTTTAAAAACAATAATAAAACTAACAAAATATTTTACATACATGCATAAAAAATTAAAAGGAGAAAAAAAAACGAAATAATAAAAAAAAAAACTAAAGAAATGTTTATTTTGGTAAAACATTTTTTAAATTATTTGTTGAAAAAAACTGTGCTTTTGAAGCATTGTTAGTCCTTCTTTAATTTATTTATTTAAAATAATAAAATTGTATTAACTAAAGGTCTAATTCTATACTTAATGAATGTAAAAATAAATTTAAGTTTTTTATTTATTATTATTTTCTTTTTTAAAAATAAAATTGACTAAGGATTTATTTGTTTAAAAATGATACTGACTGTCTAACAAATTATGAAACAAACAAGTATTGAAAGAATTTTGAGAAAATTTAAAAAAAAAACAAACTTTTAAGTACTATTATTAAACAATTAAAAACCGTCAAAACATTGCTTAACTTTTTATTCAATTAAAGAAAATATTAGTTTTAACTAATAGCCAAATTTTTTTATACGTAAGTAAAAACGACTGAAGATTTATTCGTTTAAAAATCAAATTATTCTGCTTCTGTGCATTAAGTAAATTTAAAAAGAACTGACTTTTTATAACCAAGTTAAATACAAAATACCCCTGTTAAATTGTATCGCTTAAAATAAAAAACAATAATTAAAAAGAAAAATATCAAAAATTTAAAAAAAAAACTTAATTGAATCTTTTTTATTCATATTTTCTGTTCATTAATAGATTGAGTTCAGAGTAGGTAACAGTGATTGCGCAACAATCGCCAAGTAACAGTAGGTCTACTAAAAATAATTGACTAGAATCATTAAGTACCGATAGACAAAATAATACAGAATGAAACGATCGCTAAGTAGCAAAAGTCTCACTGAAAATAATTTACTAGTAGAGTTTTATCCCGACGAAATTAAGTGCACAGCGATCACAAAGTAACGTAAGTCCAGCTGGAAATAATTTTCAAGGAAAGTAAACTTCCACGGACAAAAATGGCGCATAAAGAAACTATCGTTCTATTTCGCTGATCCTCACACGAAGCTGGAAGGTGTGTTTCGATTCGCTTTTCATTGTTCAACGTCATGAAACTAACATCGTTTTCGTAGCTAGACGCTATCAACAGCTCCGCAGTTAGACGAAATCAAAATAGTATTCGTCAGCGTGGTGACAGCGTTAGCGTAGGCAAGGATTCTCACATGTTAAATCGTTAATCCGCAAGCGTTGACTTGTATGACGGCTAAAATCAGATTTCTGATGCATCGCCTAAAACGAAAGTCATTATATCGGCCTGCCGATATATGCATTAAATCGATATTTCACAATGCATCGATTTATAGCCCAGTCCTAGTTATATCAGTTTAAAAAATTTTAGTTAAGATTATCATAGATACCAATATCATGACCTGTCAGAAGAGAGAACTGGGCAACAGCTTCATGAAGGGATTTATAAAAGGATTTCATCTTTCCATTGCTTGGCCTTTAATTTGAAGCTTTAATGAATAGTTTACATTTATTAACTATTTGAGGTGCAAGTTTATAATTGTGAAATATTTTAGAGAGTTCAAGTTGGAACAATTTTTATTCCTTTTTTGTGAAAAAATGAACCTGTTTGTGTGTTCAGGTAATAATTGAAGATGGCCATGCTTCATTTTTGAGTTTAATTTATTTTCTGCAAGAATCATTCAGATCTCATCCATCAAAGAATGTGAAGCCCAATAATTACTATATTTAAATTAATTTAATGATTTTTCTCTAATTGAGAGTTTAGTTATTTTATCTGCCTTATTTAAAAAAAAGTTTTTTTAACAAATTTAAATTAAGAATGTGAATACTAATAAAATCTTTTAATTACAAATTTACAAAGAGTAAAAAGTATTGTGCTTTTTGATTCATATATAGATATATATATCAGGGGTGATTGTATTTCGTGTATTAATTAATTAATATAATTCGTGTGTATTAATTAATATAAAATAGTTTTATATTAATTAAAAAAATTTTTCTCATATTCAGAGTGGCACACCTGGTTTGGACAAGGAAGAATCTGACTTCACTGATCCTAAAAAAACTTCTGATCTCACAAAAAAGGTTTGTTCTATTTTATTTTTTACTTTTTTAAACTAATAAAACTATTTGTCTGAGAATTCACTAAAATAGACATATAGTTTTAGGAAAAAAATAATAAAGTCATGTATTTGATGTTGATTTTCAAATAAATACATGCATATTTCTCTTCACTACAAATTGAAGCATAAACCTTCTATCATAGCTCTCCGTCTCACTCTATTGTATTCATATGTCCAGCGGACATGTTTTTCATATTGTTTTCAATTCACTTACAATAGTCCTGTGTCAAGTATTTTTAGGTCTTCCACAGAGGAATTGAAAATATTGCTCTGAGGGTTCCAATCAAAAACTTGTTTTACTTTAAATTTTTCTGGTTTACATAGAACATGATGAATCCATTTCTAACGTTTTTTAATTTTCCGTTTTTTCCCCCTAAGGATTTCTATATTACAAGTTTTAAGGAACCACTTGATACATAAAATTCTTCTTAAATTTTTGTTAATTTAATTAATGTTTGTAGTTTTTTCTTGTTACTTTTATTGCAGTGCTATGTCTTTGATCCATAAAGTAGGAGAAATTTAATATTAGTATTGAAAATTCGAATTTTTGTTGAATTTATGTTTTTAATTTTCCAGAATTTATTGAGAATAGCGTAACAGAGTCAGGCTTTGTTTAATCTATTTAGTAAATCACCTCCTGTATGTTATTTTCTAGGAATATATCTTTTAATTGTTTAGGATAAATCTTCAAAATTTTAGTTTTATTTTGGTTGATAATAAGTCTTATTTTCTTTGACTCTACTTTTAAAATGTTTTTGTTTATTTTATGTTTATTTGTAAAGTGTTGGTCAGTAAACATAAGTCGTCTACAAAATCAAATCTTTTTGTACAAAATCTAATCATTTTAGTCTTGACCTCTCTCTTAATCATTGAATTTGCTTTGTATTATTTTATTTAAGAGTTACAATGAAATAAAGACACATTAAAAAAGTTTCATTTTTATAATTTTGAATTAAAGAAGATAAACCAACTTTAATTCTTAAGGCCTGTTTGAATAATCCAAGTTCTTGGACGAAGATTGATTGAAATTGATGAAAACCTGTTTTTGTTTTTTTTAAAGCTTGGATCGTGTAAACGATCATCCAAGTACTTGGTCCAAGTCCTTGGGCGTTAGTAGAGCATGTACTACTTTTTATCTAAGTATTTTCTCCCTTAATCAAACAGCTTCTAAAGTTTTGTGAGATCAACAAGCAGGCATCATATTATTTCATTTTGTTGTCTGTTTTCATTTATTTTCGTCCAAATAAATTAATCTGTTATGGTCTATTTGTGTTATTATGATTTTATTTGAATTTATTCAGTAATTTTAAAGTCATGTAAGTATAATTTTATAATGTTGAATATGAACAATGCACATGCGCAAGTTTTTCTTCTGACCAATCAGTGACATTCAAGAATTTGGATAGTGTTGACAAATCATCCAATTTCTTGAAGAGAGAAATTCCTTCAATTTCCCGGATTCAAGAATTTGGACCATGTAAGCCAGCCTTTAGTTACTATGAGCCCTTTATTGTTCATATTAGTTACTAATTTGAAGTCATTGCATTGGTCCTTCCATTTCAATTTCTTACATATGTTTGTATTTATATAAGGTTTTTTTTTCTTTGTTAGAAAAGTCTTGGGACTGCAAAAAAGATTATTTCGAGTTACACAAAAAATAATGCACAGGTAGGTGTTGCTAGATTCATTTTTATTTATTTATTTGTTTATTTATTTATTTATTGTATTATTTCACATTTTAATTATTTCCGAATTTTACAATTGTTGATTTCCGAAGTAGTAGCACACAACTGAAAAGTTTTGTAACTTTACAAAAACAGAAAAGTGTTTATTAGATATAGTAAATAAATTATGAGATAAGATATTGCACAATATTATTTATTTAAGCAATAAAATTTTTCCTGTTGTGATGTTTATGGAAAAAGTTTTTGCCCTTAATAATTTGACTACTGTTTGAGTCAATTTTACATTCTTCTCTTGGCTCTGGCCTCAATACCCATTTGGAACTGATTTTCTCATTTTCTTTTTCTCTTAGGCAGCTTATCTAGATTATGTAATACCATTTACACTTCGCACAGCATAGATAATTATGGCTCATGTGCCATTAAACATTTAAGCATTTAATTTTTTTTTAATTCAATAATAAGGTAGAAGTTATTTCTTATCATAGCTCTTATCTTTGTATACTGTTTCTGAATTTAAATAAACAAATAAAAATATGAATTTAAAATGAATTAGGCTCTGGTTATAATTATAATTCTGGAGTTAAAAAAATTAAAGCTGCATTCAGTTGTGTAAAATAAGTTTTTTTTTGAGAAATTAATTTTGTTTTATATTATTTTTAGCTTTGTTAAACTTTTTCTATTATTTTTTTTTTAGAAAATTTTGACATTTTCAGTTGACATAACTTCTGAAGATGCTAATTTGAAAGATATTATAGCTGAGGTTGGTACCTGTACACTTTGTTATTCATTCGTTTTAGTTAAATGTTTTTTTTTCTGGAAATAAATATTTTACTGTCCTAAAATTAATATCTTATTAAAAGTAAATGGATTCTTTGCCTATGGAATGATCTAGCCTTTTTCTTTTCTTTTTTTTATTATTTTTCTCCTGTGTGTTCTTTGATATATTTACATTTATTTTCCCCTTACCTTAAATGCTTTGATACTTTAAAATCTTGTTTTTAACTTGAGTTTGGCACAGCAGCTTTTTTGACAATAAAAATTACGTTCATTCACTGAATTTTCCAGTTTCTTCCATATCAGTGTTTTGTTTATGTTAATGAAAAATATAACTAAGTAAAAAAATAAGTATTTTTAACTTTATTTTAAACTTGGCCAAACAATCGTGTTTTTTTTTCTTCCGGGTAACACATTAATAAATTATATATTTAAGGTTATATAGGTGTATATTTTTTTTCTTCATCTTCTTTATTTATCTTTGTATAGAATTCTACAAAAAAACTGTATAATATATCTGTTATGTTATTTTATTTTTTCAAATTTGCAGCATGCCCAAAAAAACATCACCCTGAATAACTTTTGATATAATTGTGTCTTTGCGTACTAAGACTCAATCATAATGGTTCAAGGGGGTAACTTTAAATATGCAAATTAATTTGTGCAAACGATGTGTTAAGTTACGAAATCAGACACAAAAACATACTTTCTCTGAAAAAAGTTTTTTTAGACGAATTCGGTTTTCTGACCCCCAAAATATGGGGTGCAGTTGCAATTTGGGAAATAGGTACCCTATAGTTTGGTCAGGAGAATCAATCTGAAATTTGGACCTCTTAACCCCTTAACTGCCGCGGGCGTATATATACGTCTCGGCCAGACGATGCGTTAACTGCCGCAGTCGTATATATACGCTTTCCCGAAGTACGATGCTTTGCATTGCTCTGCTATAAATAGAACTACACCCCCTTCTTCAGAATGCAGTAAAATGGCCTTGAAAGTGTTTGCTTTGCGAATGTATTGCTAATTTCGGAGGAGGGGGAATGGGAAAAGGATGTTATGGAAAAGTGATATCGTATTAATCGCTTGTGTGTATTTATTTCAGTAAGGTCGGGTTTATTCTTTTTTCGCTTTTGTTTCCCGTATGTATTTGGTGCTTTTTATTCTTTCCATCAACGTCTTCAAAGAAAAATGCATCGCGAAAATGTGCTGTTTGTTCATGAAAAAAAGATTCGTCGTGAATCCCGCTATCAGTGCGATGAATGTGATGTTGGTTTATGTGTCCAACCATGTTTCAGGATTTATCATACAACAGCTAAGTTTTAACATCTTTTATATTGTATTTTTATTATTTAATTTAAATTTTGTATTTTCTTTCTTTCCTTTTTCTTGTAAAATTAAACTGTTTTTAAATTGCAAAGCATGCATCATTTTTCCCACTCCAAACACCGTGTAAGAAAGTGCACTTGAGCGAAAAACGATGGCACTGGGGAGTGAATCACGTTAATTTCACTCGGCAGTTAAGGGGTTAATATTAATTTTACTTTTTGCTTATTTCATCATATTTCTAGATCTTTTCAAGTGAATTGAAAAACTTGAAATTCCTTTATCCAAAAACAATATCATGCAAAAAATAAATTTTAATAAATATTTATTAATTTTATTTAATAACAGTTAAAAAAAATTATGATTTATAAGGTCTGCAATTTTTTACATCATTTTAAAAGGTGTAAATTTAAATGGCAAAATATGAAATTTAGGCAGAATTGAGCAAATAGTTCCTGAGAAATTGAATTTTAAAGAAGTCATGTATGTAAATTTTGATTTCTCAGAAACTATTCAACCAATTTCACTCAAATTTTGTATTTTGCCATTTAAAATTACGTACTTTAAATTGGGGTAAAAAATTGCATACTATTTAATTCAAACTTTTTTGGACTATTATTAAAAAAAATAATAAATATTTACTAAAATTTATTTTTTGTGTTTAGTTATCTTTGGATAAATAAATTTTATAATTGTGTGCAAAAAACTTTCAATTCACATAAAAATATGGCGAAATACACAAACAGTAAAATTAACATAAAATAGTCCAAACTTAGGATCGCTCTCCTGAGCAAACTGTGGGGACCATATTTCCCAGATTGTGGCTACCCCCTATATTTTGGAGAGTCAGAGAAAGTACGTTTTTATGTCTGATTTCGTAACTTAAAATATCATTTGCACTAGTTAATTATCATATTTGAGGGGCACCTTTTCGAATCATTAGATTGAGCCCTAACCTTCGAAGATCTGAGCATTTTAGATCAAAAGTTATTTAGGGTGGTCCTTTTTTTTGGCACACTGTGCACCATTGTGTAATGTTACTGCTTGTAACATTTCAGGCAGAAACAAATTGTGGTCCAGTCACTTTCCTCTTCAACTGTGCTGGAACATCTATTTCTAAAAGGTTTGAAGATTCTTCAATTCAAGATTTCAAAGTAACTTATTTCTCTTACATTCAACTGAATTTGTGTTTGTTCATAATATTTAGCTTTTACTGTTAAACAAAAATAATTACTTAGTTTTGTTATTACTTGAGTATGACAAATGTCACTTTAATCTTTGATTAGTATAAATGACTTGTCTGTTCGAAGACCATGGATATAAAGACTTAAAAGTTTCAAGACGTATGGCATGATGGTGGCAATGTAGTCAGCTTTGGATGCAGCCATTTTTTTTTTAAAGGCAAGCTGACACTCATTAATTTAAATCTGGATATTCTTTGCTGCTAACAAAAATGGAACATCGATCCTGAGTAATGACAACTCAATACCTTCTAGAAGATTGCAGTTGTAGTGTAAATAGTATATGGCTGACTTAGATAAAATGAAAAAGTTCTGCAAACACAAAGTCTAAATTAAAAAAAACATTCTTCACGCATTGATTAATTCTTATAACTAGTTACAACCATCTTCGCCATCTCATTTTGGAGAAATATGTTTGAAAACCGCGGATTTTTCTAGATGTTGAATTTTTATAGTACTCTATATTGATTCATACCCCAGCAATGCATTTGGTAAAACACCAAAAAGCTCAAAATAGAAATCCAAAAATGTTTTGTGGAAAAACCCTTTTTAAATAATTGTAAAATTACCTGAAATTAAGAAGAAAAAAAATATGTATCAATTATTAATACACAGAATGTTATTAATGTTTTAATAAAAATATCGATGTGAGATTTTATTTATTTAAGTTGTTTAAATATGAATCTCAACATTTGTCTTTTAAATCACATGAATACGAATCTCGAGGTCTGATTTTAAAATCGCGTTTATACAAATCTCTATGTTTAATTTTAAAGTCGTGTGAATCTGAATCTTGATGTTTGATTTTAAAATTGCTTGAATACAAATTCTTATGTATAATTTTTTAAGTCACTTGAACACGAATCTTAATAGTGACTTTTAAATCATTTGAATACAATATTTTATATAAAATTGTGAAAATACAGAACACAATGTTTGCTCTTAAATCGTGTGTTTTTGATGGGTGGTTATGGGCCTCCATTATCCGATAACATTATTAAATAGATACATAGATAAATAGCAGAATGAGTTTGCGTAGTGGCCGAACTTAGGAAAACAAAGCTTCTTCTGAAATATATATTTGTTTGGTGACTGTGACACATGAATAAAGTACAAATGATTAGATGAAAGAAAAAGGTAACATAATCATAACCGAGTCCCATGACTAAGAACAGGCTCTTCTTCTGGAGGAAGCTTACATAGGAGCTTTTATAAACAAAGGGAGAGAGTGTGAAGTCTGATTATGCCTCGGGTTTTTAAACACAGTGATTTGGAATCATCGACCAATTACGAGCTACTGAAAACCTTGCTTAAATTAGTTTACAGGTAGATGAAGAATTAATTAGTAACTAGCTTCTCCCATGGGGAAAACATTGTCTCTCTTGCATGGTTTTTTACCACTCACGATGAGCACCCGAGATCGAACTTTTAAGTCATCCCATGACTTAACTAAAGGTAAACAACGAGCGCAGACATGTTAATGTAATTTAAAATCGCATTTGCATTGGTAAGAAAACAATTCTCTTTAAAGACAAATTTCTTTCTAGTAACAGTAAAAAAATTTCCACGATGGTGACAAATTTTCAGCAAACGGTGTTCATGTACATTATAATGGGTCTATTTGCCGCTATCAAGGATAGAACATCAATCCTTTACAATGACAATTCATTATCTACAAACAAATTACAAATGTAGTGTAAATAGTATATTGAATAAAATGTTTTGTTCTGTCTAAAAAATTTCATTTATTTAACTTTATTTATTATTTCCTCTTTAGCATGCTATTTTAATTTAAAAGTTAACCATTGTTTTAGCTTTTATCTATAGAAAATATATTAATAGATTGTGTTTGATTTTATAGTAATACAGAACCACAATGACGCTAATTAAATAACATCTCATCTAATTTACACTGTGCATTAAGTAACATACTTAATTAACACTGTTTAAGTAACATAAACTGATTAAGAAACATTAAAATTCAATCTGAAAACTAAATTGATCAAAAGCTTATTGAGCGTAATTTATTTGTTTTTATTATTTACTTATTATACAAACAAAAAATTTTATCGCAAATTAACTGTGTTTTTAGTTATATTTCACTGAAAAGTTTTTGAATTAAAAACCGGTTTTTAAGTGTCAAAATTATTTTTTTTATTTTGCTGTTTCAAATCTGGTCATTTTATTTAATATTTTATAGTTTAAATTATGTTATTTATTGATGAATATTTATTTTTGCTTCAAAATTTTTTTAAGTATCTTTAGGAACATTGACTCGTCATTGAAGTCTGACATTGTATAAAAATATACTTTTTGATTAATGGGAAAATCATATTACGGTTATCAAATAGTTTCACTGTTTTATAAAACTAATGAAAATATTATTATTTTTGAAGGATATGCTAAATGTGAATTACCTTGGAAGTGTTAGTGTAACTCAAGCAGTATTGCCGGCTATGAAGGAAAGATGTAAAGGCAAGATAATCTTTGTTTCATCTTTAGCTGGTCTTATTGGTTTGTATGGCTATACAGCTTATTCAGCTTCAAAATTTGCTTTAGTGGGATTAGCAGAAGCTCTTCAAATGGAGGTAAATCATATGTTTTTATAAATTTCAACTTTATCATCAGCCAATGATTTCAATAAGTTTTATATATATTTTTAGTTTTATAAATGCATATTTTGTTATATAAGTCATTGGTTTCCAATCTAGGTTTTGATGAAATTGGTTTGTCATTGGTTCTTAATTTCTCCTTCATGTTACATTGTTTTGATGAAAACCTGTTGTGCTGAAAATTAATTTAAAGGCATTTTTTTGCTTGTCGGTTATTGTATTTTTTAATGTTTTTCATTGGACTTATTCAGATTCAATGCATTTTACTTAGGTAAAGATTTATAGTTTTAGGATAGGATTGTGATTTTTCTGTGACTGATGCAATATTTTCGTTAATATCACTCTTATTTTATGTCTTTGTACAGTAAAACCTTGTTTATCAGACATTATTTCTACTGTTAAAAAACTTCTGTTAACTAAAATCTATTTTGTATTTTCTTCCTTTCATTTAAAAAAAAAAAATCCATGTTCTTTTTGCCATGTGCTTACTTAATATTGTAACTACTAGCGAAAATTACTAACTAACTACTTGAGAAAATTTTACATGGTACATATCAGATTTTATTCAAATTATTTATGCTACAAAATGAGTGAGTTGTGTGTAAGTCTGTTAGTAGAGTAATTATTCAAATAGTTGATCTGAAAATATGTTAATACATGTTATAATACATACTGTAATTCATCTTAACGTGCAGATTTCTTTGATGTGACAATCATATGAATCTTCCTTACAGTATCATTATAACTTAAGAAAGTGTTCTTATAATACTTACTTTATTGTAATCATCATATCATATTCTTACGAATTATTTTAATTTACATCATAATATTGGATGAAAAATATCAATAGCATTGAATGATTAATCATGAAGAACCTTGAAAATTTAACTAATGGTCAGCCCACAATACATTTATGCCTTCGGGTACATTCTGTATAGTTTTTCAAGCCATTTTAGTGGTAATAAAGCTGGGCTTAAAGTTGTCTTTAAGTTCCCTAATTTTCTTAAAAAAATGTCTTTAATTTTTAAATAATTCAATTAATGCCATAATATTTCTGTGATTTTCCAATTTTTGTTGATGTTAACAAAAGGAGTTAACGTTATTAGATTCCAAAAAAGAAAAGAATGGAACTTTTTTATTCAGAAAAAATTATAAATTTTGTTATATGCCATGAAACTATGTAATAAAATGAATGCCAAGACTTCATAGCCCGCCAATAATGGTTATTAGTCTATTTCCGATGTTCAAGACAATTATTTCTGTAGAAGAGAGAAATAAAAAGCTCCTGTCTTCCCCCATCACTGTACCATATTCTACTGTTTTTAACAGGAGAATCTTATATTTTACTTCTGCCTCTTGATTTTTCATACTTAGATGATTTTGACAGAAGACAGAAACCAAAAAAGAAATTTTTGCATGTTTTTTTTTTTTTTTTTTTTTTTTTTTTTTTTTTTTTTTNTTTTTTTTTTTTTTTTTTTTTTTTTTTATAAAAAAAATCTTTTTCCCCTCAAGTGTGGGCACTACTAAAACTATTACCAATTGCGTGTCAGGGAAAGTATCTTATAAATTAGAGAATCAGCATCCTTAAATTTTATTTTTTAGACTTCCCTCCCTGTAATAGAGGTGTCCTTAAAAAAATTGGTTCTTAATTTCTCCTTCATGTTACATTGTTTTGATGAAAACCTGTTGTGCTGAAAATTAATTTAAAGGCATTTTTTTGCTTGTCGGTTATTGTATTTTTTAATGTTTTTCATTGGACTTATTCAGATTCAATGAATTTTACTTAAGTAAAGATTTATTTACAGTAAAGATTTATAGTTTTAGGATAGGATTGTGATTTTTCTGTGGCTGATGCAAAATTTTCGTTAATATCACTCTTATTTTATGTCTTTAATACAGAGATCAAAAAATTAGTCCCAACCCCGCAAGAATTTTTTTTGGGCATCTAAGATAATCATAATACTGTGTAAACTTTAAAATTTTTTATCATAAGTTTAAGTTTATCAAATTATTTAATTCGTTTATATTTTGCCAATAGAGCCTTTAATTTTAACTAACATTAAAAAAAATAAAAGTTATGTATTGTCTCTTTATTCTTAAATGCAAAGTTTAAGGGTAATTTTTCTTTTAAGTTTTTTTTTTCATTAACCTTTTAACTGTTTTACTGGGGTGAAAACTATTGGTGCTGCTACTGTGCATATTTATTTCATAGTGTGTATTGGGGAATTTATCTTACACAGATTTCACTAACCTTTGATGACTTTTTCATCTCTTTTTGTTTCCTTTTTCTCCTTCTTTTGACAAAATTTTTTATTTGGAATGGTATAGTTGATTCTTGTAGATTCCAGAAAAAATTTGGTAATTTTGCTGTTTTATTTTAACTTTTTATTAAAATTACTATGTTTATAGATTTTTAAGTATGTTATAGACTGGTAAATATGTATAAAAAATGATATTTTAATTTTAAATAATTGTTTTAGATTAATCTTTTGATGCTATTTACCTTTATGTATAGATGAAACCCTACAATATTGGTGTTACTGTCTCTTTTCCACCTGACACTGCTACTCCAGGATATGCAGAAGAAATGAAAACTAAAGTAATATTTGTTTAAATATTTATTTACTTTTTTTGAAAAACTTGTTTACTTTTCTATCTGATTAAAAAATATAGGCAAAATTCATAATAATGATTGAATTTTAACCCTCTAAGCATTGAGCCTTTGGGGAAAATTGTACAGAAATTTTCCTGTTAGCCACTATTTTCTCCTTTGATAACATGAAGAAACTGGTTTTTTGATGCAGAAATGCCTGCACCTGAAATTTCAGGATAAAGTGTGACTAACGACGCTAAGAGGGTTAATCTGTTGAAAGATTGACTTCATCATTTATGACCGAGGAAGATTTACTTATTGCATTCACTTCTCATTTAAGTCCCTAAATTTTATTTTTACCCATTTCTAAGTTTCTTACAACAGAAATATTTATACTATTAACTATAAATAGAGTGATGCATGATGTTTTTCTATAGCAGAAAAAGAGTTTTGAGAAGAATTTTTTAAATGTGTTTATGTAATTTTACGCATAGTAAACATAATGTTTAATCCTGAGTTCATATTTCTTTTAAATTTCATTTTCTTTTATTACTGTACCTATTTGATATTTATTATATTTTGTAAATGATAAACTTTCACTTTATATGTATATGTAGCCTATAATACATTTTTTAAACTTATGCATTTGTGGTTTGAATAATTTATATCTTAATTCCATTTCTTAATATATTTGGCTCAGGCATTTTTATGTATAATTTATTATTTTTTTGTATATATTATGTATAACCATACATATTTTCTATTTATATAATCACACTTAGATAAACTGAAAAACTTTTTGCAAGTAATTTGTTTACTCTTGTAACTAGTTGTAATTCTTTTCATGACCACCTGATTTAGACAAAATTTGTTCAAATTGACTGATTTTTTATAAAATGTTATAATTTTTATAAAATTTTGATTATTATCCATACCAGCATAACTGTAGCACTTTTTTAAATACAAAGCTTGTATCCTAATTTTCTAAAATTAACGGCAGGGTAGAATTTGGGAATTTTAATCCTGACTGATTTTCTTTTCTTTTTTTAATGAGTACTATTAAAAAAATTTCCTCACTCATTTTACATTAATGGCATTCACTCGTTAGTGTAAACTATGCATATCTGCATCTAATATTATTTATAAAAGTTCAACATGTGTTCTAAATCTGCATTAATATTTGCAAAAGTCTTAATTTTTAAAACGTATTTTTTTTTATTTTGCTTCAAAAGTTTAGCTTACAATTTTGTTCTATTATTTGAAATCATAAATTAAAAACAATCTAAATGATTTTAGCCTATTGAAACTGCTAAAATTTCTGAAAGTGGAGGCTTATATGAAGCAGAAATTGTTGCAAGAAAAACATTGTATGACGTACTAGTAAGTCACTTAAATTTTATATTTTAATGGCTAATTTTGCAACTGTGTTACATATTCATATACTTGAACATTTATGATTTTTTGAACTCACCCAACTGTACCTAAATGTTATTTAGTTGACTGCACTTTGATTGTGAATCTTTCACTTCAGGATTTATCCATAAACAGTGCATTATTCTGCTCATTAATAACTTTTCAATGGTATTTACAACATTACGCTATGTGATTGATGTTTTATTCATTGTGTCCCTCGTGATTTTATAGTTCTATCTATAATGAATACAATAGAAACTTAGAGGTAATGGATGGATATGGGAATTATTGGCTTATGGGAAATAAATATGACAGGCATTAATTTGATTATTGTTTTACCCTTCCCAACATTACACTATTGTAAAATTTTTTTTCAAGTTTGGTGAATGTTTAGGCTATTTTGTAAGACAGATGTACACTTCACGATGCCACCCTATTTATCTTAGTGGCTCTTTTTAATGGATTTTCCTGTGCTGTTATATATCATGGTGCATAGTGTTTTTAAAAAGTGCTTATTTTCGTTTTTTAAAAGCCTGTAAAGGTGCTTTTTTCTTTGGGTGTTTTTAAAAAGTACTTAATTTTCCCTTTTCGAAAATGGGAATTTTTTTATGTACTGTGTTGATTTCCGCCACATATTATGCAAAAGGGTGCTTTTCACATTGTTCTATTCAACGTTTTCACAATTCATTTAGCCACAATTTATTTTGGTGTACCGTTGGTCCCTAGCGTATGTGACCGCCAATAATTTTACATGATTGATGAAATACTTGTGATTCCGCATGGGAGTCTACTGAGCTGCGTTCAGTGAGATTATTGCACTCTTATGTGCAACTCTTCTGCATTTTGCAAGATATTTTTAATTGCAGGCTTCATTTTACACCCTCTGATATCAAACCGAAAAATCTCTTGATTATTTTATAATGGCTTATATATAATCAAGAAAAGAGCTATTTGTTAGAAACTAAATTTCTATTTTATCATGATCATGTAGTCTTTGAAAATTATTTTGTATTTTGTTAATGTGTATAGTGCTCAAAAATGTTTTTTGAGTGCTTAAAAGGTGCTTATTTTTGTGAAAAGATTTGGGTATGTGATCAGTTTCAAAAAGCTTGATTACGAAATTAAATTCTGCTTTAAACCATAGATTCATGTATCAAATACCTATATATGGTCTAAAAAATATAATAGTCACTTTATTTTTAACAGGGTTAATTTTTTAGTGTATTTTTCTCTGGGACTATTCAAATATTACGTAAATACCTTACGGGGAGAGAGGAAAATGTTATGTTTATTTTTGCTGATAAAAGGGAGGGAAGAATAGCAATGCTAAAATCACATTTCTTTTTAATTCAGAGAAGAAAACTAACAAAAAATGTAAGAAAAGACATTTGTAAACATTGTAGACATTTGAAAGAAAAGACAATGTAAGAAAAGACTCAGTAAATACCTTACGGGGAGAGAGGAAAATGTTATGTTTATTTTTGCTGATAAAAGGGAGGGAAGAATAGCAATGCTAAACTCACATTTCTTTTTAATTCAGAGAAGAAAACTAACAAAAAATGTTAGAAAAGATTATTATTGGTAAAATTTTAATTTTGAAATAAAAGTTAATTTAAAGTTAGGAAAAATTTCTAAGAGTTTCAGATATCTAGAGTTTTAATTACTAAAAGAAAACACAAAACATTTGGGATGAATATTTTACTCAATATTTTATAAAATGAATTAAAGCATAAATTTTCTTTCATATGAAGTTACATAATTTGACTTTAATCTTTAAAGTAAACTACTAAAGTCAAAGATAAAACAAAAGAGGGGTGCAATTTTCTTAGAGAAGCATTAGAGGCGGTTTGTAATTTGTTTATTTTTGTTTACAAGAAAGGAAAGGGAGTCTTAAATTGCCAAAAACATGCTTACATAATATTTGAAAGATTCCTATATGCTGTGGAAACAGTAATTTTTAGTGTTGTAGTTAAAAAAATAGCATGGAAAAAGTGCCAATGTTTTTTACCATAAATATTTTGCTCATATCTGTTGAGAGTATTTTTTAATAGGAATATAACGAAGCAAAAGTATACACTTACATAGTTTTCAATGTAATGATATTGTTCTTCAGATGACTTCTTTAAGCGAAATATTATGAAATTATTAATTCAAGTCCATCTTTATTTTTACATGCAAGATACAATAAGTTGTCTATTTATCAAAACATAAAGCTTTATAAAAATCTGCATATAGAAGTCAGTCTATCTAGAGTAAGTTTAAGAGTTAGTTTAGACATTAGAGTTTGTTTTTATTTGTTAAGTTTTCAACAAAAATAGTAAGAAGTGATAACAATTCAATATGTTCTACAAAATATGAGTTTATTTTGATGTTTTGTTATATGATACAGAAGATAAGACTGATAAATTTAATTTCCCTTTAAAATGAGAGTAATAGGAATAGTAATACCAACATTTGCCTGAATTTTAAATTTACTTAAAAATATTTAAAATGGTAGCATTTTATATTTTTATCATTCTAATGGAATTAATATCAATTTTATTTTTGATCCTAGCACAAAGAAACAGTATCAAAAGCTAATATTTTTATTTTCAGTATAAAGCAGTTGGTACTTTTTAAATTTCACATGATAGTTATAAATTCTTAACTTGTATGTTTTAATTCTTAATTTTTTTAACAAAAAAAATTTATTTTTTACTGATATATTAAAAGATAAACTTCATTCCTAATATCATCAAAATTTATAAATTATAAAAAGTAATTGTGGTTTTAGTTGTCATTTTTTTAAAATTTACTCTTTTTCCTGACTTTTTAATACATACTTTATTTTCATGGTGCAAAATTCTTATCTCTGGTAATTCTTATTTTTTAGGATAATAAATTTATGTCATCTGTTGGCCTTGAAGGATGGATGTTATGTGTGGCATGTAGTGGTACAACTCCAGTCAATTCAATTTTTCAATTGCTAATACAGGTATTTCTAATTATTTTGAGATGGAAATGCAATTTTGTAATCATTTTTTGAAGATTGTTATGAAATGTTTTACATTAGTTTTTTCATGTTTGTCAAAATTATTTTTAAGCATACATGAAAATACTGATGCATATTAATTAGATATTATTTTACATATACAACTGGGGTGATTCATTGCTAAATATTAGTATTGGCTTTGTTTATCTAATACAGGGATGTTACATGACACATATTTCTGTATCATGCAAGAAATACATATTAAATTACTTTTATTTGCTAACATACACTGAAAACAATTTTAAAAACAAGGAACATTATAATGTTAGAGACCATTATAGGTGGGTTCAGAAAAAAGTAAGATTTTTGGTGCCATTATGACATTTTCCAAGATGCAGGCCTGACTCTAGAAACATTTACACTCTGCAAGTCCATGCTGTAGAAGAGGTCTATAAAAAATTTTAAATATCTTTCTTTAACTACCCTAATTTCATTTTATTTTACTTTACCTTATTGTGAAGGTTCCGTTTCTGCTGGATCAATTTTTGTAAAAGTACGCTAAATAGTACTAAAATCCACTGGTAGTTATCCGTGATCTCTGATCTAGCACTTGAACAGTGTATGTTTAAAGCTTTTAAGAAATTGCTGAATAAATAATTAAAAAAATTTATCTCTTTTTTTTATTTTTTACTTTCTCTGGAAAAGGTGATTTAATATTATACCCAACACCATATAGGAGAATAACGTAATTCCCAGTTTTCTTGATTTATTTACACTAATGATGTTTCTCAGTAAAAAATTTTGTCAAACCCAATTATCAGTCAATAGTATAAATAGGTTTTATTAAAAGGTTATCATCTGTCAGTTAACTCCTTTTTTATATCAAGCGTCCTTAGCAGTATGTCAAAAAACTTGTAACAATGGAAATCAAAAAATTGATGTTCACAATGTTGATTTTTTCCCCCGCTTATACTATATGTAGAAATTCTTAAAATATTTTAAGGAATGCTTTTTTCAAATAAAACACACTAGCATATTCAAGAAATGTACAATTAGGGGATTACAAGTAGGTAGTTGCATTTAAAAGAAAGATCCTAGACGTTATCAAATGAGCTTAGTCTCTTTTATTAAATCAACCATGTAAAATCCATTAACTTTATTAGCATGTATTGATATTTCTTTAAATCATTATCTATTAAACCATTATTTATTAAATATTAATAAAAGATTTCTTATTCTTCTATTAAAAGATTTCTTCAATACAAGATACTGTTACTTTTATATTTGTCTAAGAGAGTGTGATTTTTTTTTCTAAATTTAGGCTTTTCAAATCTGTATTTTAAAGTATAATGTTAAATTGATTTGAACTATTTTCTTTTCCAGGTTGCTACCACAGGTTTAATGAGACTTGGATTATATATTTATCTTTTGCAATGTGATCAAACAATAAAAAAATGTTTTAAAGAAAGGGAATTGAAAAAAAATTGATTTTCTACTCTACATAAATTTGAAATATGTTTTGCAATACAGTGCATATTGCATTGAAAAAAAAAACATATTTTAAATTTATTATTTTGACATTCCCACTCATCCTAATATTTAGTCATAGAATGAACCAACAAATATTTTATATATCTCACTTTTGTACTATTTATAATGAGTTCGCTTTTGGGTAGCAATTTCACAATTGCAATATTTATGTAAATTGGTGCCTTTACATTAAAATACATCATCAAATTCATAAATCAAAAGTCCCATGCATGTTGTTAACTTTTATTAATCATCTTTTTTCATTTATTATGTTATTTTTCATAGCAAATGCAATGTAATTAGGAGTTATAGTACTTATTACTCCTTAGCTGTTAAATTTTTATTTATTTTAAAAAAAAAATTCTCTTACAAATTGTACTTTCAATTATATACACATATATTGTACTTTCAAAGCTTATTTGCCAGTATAGAGTATTTTGCATTATTTTTTCTAGTTTTATATTGATAAAATGTAATCTGCTTTGATGTTTTTTTAATTGTGTCAGAAATATAATTCTGTATGTATACTTGATTATAATGAACAATACCATAATGCTTTGTAAAAAAATTGTAAATAAATTATTTAAATTTGTCTTTTAGTTTTGATGTATTTTTATGATGGCAAATGAGGATCAAATTGGTGAATTCGTTCAAAAATCATATTCTTATTCAAAAATGATTTTTAAATATTATTCTTAGTTATATGAGAAATTTTTTAGGGTGAATTTTTTTTCTCCAGAATAATGTATTTAAATTTTAAAATGTTTTATTTTTCAAAACACAAATTTATTGCTTTTATGCTATACTACATCAAAATAAAACTGCCTGCAATTTAAAATTATGAATTGAATAAAGATTATGAAATCTTTTACTTAGCAAAAAAAATTTCCATTGCACCTTAAATTGGATATTTCACCCATTTTTCTGAGTCTTTAAAAGAATACCCAGCTTTCAAACATAAATGATTTAAATTTATAGTTATGCTTGTGATATCGATAATAATTTTTTTTTTCACTCTTAAGGAAACAAGCAATGATCATCACTCCTCCCGCCCCCAGCTTTCTGCCAAACAAAAAATTTTAACAGATTTTTACATTTTTTCCAGATTTATATTTAAAGTGATTCTTGAAAAACTTCCTCTAATTCTTTACAAAATAATGTTTCTAAATTTTAAAAACTATATTTTGAAATGTTTTGTTATTTTTAAGAACATAAATTTACTGCTTTTATGCTATACTGCATCAACTTAAAATTATGAATTTACTAAAGATTATGAAACCCTTTACATTGCAAAAATAATTTTCCATTGCTTCCTAAATTGGATATTTTGTCTATTTTTATAAGTCCTTAAAAGAATACCCAGCTTTCAAACATAAATGATTTAAATTTATAGTTAATACTGATGACACCGGTAAATATTTTTTCTAAAAACGATTGTATTGCAAATTGATAATCTGTATGATAAATATAATAAAAAGGATTAATATTTTTATTTAATGATTTATTATAACAATAAATTCAAATGGAGCATTTAAAAAATTCTTTCATTTAACAATTTTTTTTTGTAGTTGTATTTTAAAAATTTTATCAATTTAAAATTTTGCAAATTAATCAGCAATAACACAAATATGTGTAAAAAATAGATCAACAACAGTCAAATATAATTTACCAATTAAAATACCAGCAAATTTTTTGAAATAATATCTTTAATGTATTAAATTATAATTTCACAAATTTATAAAAAATTATTGCAAACAATTTTTATTGTAAACAAAATGATGCAAATAAATAAGAAAAGAATGAATGAAAAATATTAGTTTTTGTTTAACAAAGAAGATATCAATCATGTCATCAATTTTAATATGAATTCATCAAAAGCAATTTTTAACATCAATTTTAATATGAATATATTAAGGATATAATATTAAATTCACACAGACTGTCTAGTTAACAAGGAAATAAAAAATTATTCTTTTATCATAACTATTACATACTTTGCTTTTTTTTAAAACTAAGCAATGTTTTTCTTTTTGAATACTATCTACACAAAATGGTATTCTTAGATTTATATACATCATTGTCCTTACATACATTTTGAATTTTTCAGTCATATAATAAAGATCTTGAAATATGACAACACAAAACAAATTAAGGATTTGGGATTTTTTGCACAAGTCGTTCTGGAGCAAACATATTCAATAGCAGCTGCAAGCAAATAAATAAATGTACAATAATTTTGGGAAATGAAATTGTAAAACTATATTTAATGAAAATTAGCACTTCATAAGATTTATTAATCAAATAACTTTGTTTAGGTAGAAATGAGTGATTCTGAATAGTTTTAAAGTCAATTAATAAATTACATTGTAGAAAAACTAACTTGATACGTTTCATTAAATTCTAAAAGTAAGAAATTATTTATGAAATGAAACATTTTTTTCTAAAAATTTACTAATTTTATTCTGTTTTCAAATTATTATCTTAGAAAATATCATATAAAGTTGTCAGCTGAATTAGATATGATAAAAAAAGCAAACATTACTTCCATTAATTTGTCTAAAGAAATTTCAAGCTTTTATATTATTAATGGATTAAATACACATTAATTTAAAAAAAAATTTTTTTTTTTAAGATTTCAATGAATATACACATTTTATGTAACAATTATTTGAATTATGTTAGTAATTTATTTTTATTTTAAATTTTTTTGAGCAATTTATAATATAAAATTGATTTTTTAAAATTATAGTATAGCTATTTATCTATTTTAATTAAATTACAAAATGCTTTATTGTTAAAATATCTTTGAGTATATAATGCTAATAAATGTGGTTTCATTTTTTTCATATTGTATTAATTTCAGGTTCAAATTCTCTGAAGTAGTTACCATTCTGTAAATATTATTTTTTAATTAAGTTATTAAATGCCGAGCAGTACTGTGTTTCCAAAAAATGACAAAAGATTTGAAAAAAACAAAGAATAATGGAAAAAATCGAAATGTTCAGCTCGCTTAGTTTTTGCTCGAAAATTAAATAACCTATTCTCAGCAAATTTCAAAATTAGTTAGAATGTTTGTCTACTAGATGGCTTTTTTGAAAAACTAAAGAATGTTTCTTTCTGTATATCATACTAGCAGGGGTGATTGTGAGCCCAAGTTAAAATTCCGGAAAATTTCTTGAGTAAAAAAAAAAAAAGAGAAGTTTAAATCAGAAAAAAATTTAAACAAGGTTTTTTCCTTTTTCTCAATATTTACTTAAAATTCTCAATTAGTTTACTTAAAATATATTTAAGACTTTACACATACCTATACCATTTACACATACCTATGATGACCTGGAGAAGTAATTTTCTTGAGTTCATGATTATAATAACTATTTACTGATAAAAAATGAATATTAATCTAGAATATTAGCTTATCTGGCTCTCCCTTACAAACAAATTAAATAAACTGTGTTTTTAAGTTCCACCTTTGAAAATTTGATTTCCAGAAACTTTTGTGATCAATGATTTTTTGAAACGTCTGAACCTTCGATCTCCGGAAACTTCCGGATCACGGTTATTGAAAATTTCGGAAATACGGATCACAATCAGCCCCGTACTATTCCAACTGAAATATTTCTACCAATTTTGTCATTAGATTGCACCTTATTACTACTGCAAATGGTGGTAATTTTTAAAACATTATTTTTCTAGACTTTTTTAAGCAGCGACATCTGTTTACAAACTTTGTAACTAATTGTGAAACTTGTTACCAATTCGGCTTTCCTGAGCAAAACACTGCAAACCTGATATTCTTATCTCCATTATTTTTGTTAAATCATCAGTCATTTTTAGAATACCCAGCATAGTGATTAATTAGATTACAATCTCAAAGGGCTTATTAAAAACTTACTCTAGTTTTCACTGGTGGTCCATACGGAGTAAAAAGTAATTGCCATTGAGGTATTCCTAAATGGGCTAAAGCTAATCTATAGTAGGATGCAAAATCTGAAGTGAGATAATGAAAATCAAGTGCTCTATCCAAAAACCAGATAGATGGCTGTTGTAAATTTCCATCACCAGAAGAATCTAAAAAGTAATAGATATTATTTTCTATAATGCATAAACAATTAAAACGTGAAACAAATTTGATTCAATCATGAACGTATGCATATTATTAAGTAATAATAAGAAAAAATTTCTATATATACACTTATATAAACGTGTTTGTTAATGTAATGACAAAATAAATAGTACAGAAAAAAACTTGAACTTAATGTTTGAAGCACATAAATTAGGTGATTTAATATCTTAATTATTTATATGTATGACTTACAAAACTTGCTAATTAAACAAATATTTTTAATACATTTGAAGAATAATAACACTCAAATTTTATAAGTTAAACAATAATTCATAATAGAAGAATTAATTATTAATAAACTATCACTAAGGATTAATTTGTTTGTGGTAGTTACATTTACAGAAAATCTACTCTTGAAATTTTGTCAGAACAATGGAAGAAACTATTTCAAACTAACAATAATGAATTTATTGGATCTAAATTAATAAATACCATTAAATCTTGATGCAATTATAAAAAGTTTGGCGATATTTCTGGCGAATTTTTATTCTTAGGTGCTTTATATCTAAAGTAGAAATTTTAGTTTTGCAATAATTTTAACTTTTACTTGTTTCAAATCTAAATAAATAACTTACAGATAAATTATTTATTTAGAAATCCATTAGTAAAGAATTTCATACTAGTGGCACAATACAAGAACATGCTATTTATTTTTATATAATATACAAATTCAATTTAAAATATCATTTAATATTTTATTTCTAATATTTAATAGATTACAAATATATTTGTTTACCTTCATTCTTCCAAGAAATTATTAAAAAAATTAATTTGCCATTTTTTAACATTGTTACATGTTTTGTTAGAAAGTAACATTAAATATAAGCATTATCTTCTACCATACTTTTGATCATTACATATTATTTTATGAATTAAGCAACTAAAAGTAATGTTTTAATTCACTACTATTATATTTTTAACTAAATAATAATTGTGAATATTTAATTAATTTAACTTCATTATAAATATTTTGTAAAATGCATGTATGTATATTTGCAAATATAATTTGTAAGATAGCTTAAACAGAACCAAAATATTGTTTAATTGAAAATCATCTAAAAATAAATAATGCATTATAATAAATAACGAGCAGTCAATCTAATGTAGCTCACCTCTTCGCTTAGGATAAATTAAACAGACTTTCCCAATACCTTGACAATGATCAATTACAAATATTTTACATCCATCTCTGAATTTTGGTTTTGAATGTCCATCATAAACATCTGTAAATAGCAACAACAGAATATCAGTTTGTATTAATTTAAATTATCAAGCATGGGAGAAATAAATATGGAAAAACATTTTATACAGATGTAATTAAATTTAAGCAAAAATACCATTAAAGTATACTTGACCAGGGTGTGTAGCCAAATTATTCAACAAAAAATAAGCACTTTTCAAGTTCTCAAAAAATGTTTTTAAGCACTTAAAAATATCATAATTAGGCAGGGTTGGAAAGTTTTTGACAATTAACCGTTTTATCTTGTTTTAACTGTCATGTTACAAAAAAACCTTTTGGCATTGTTTTTGACAATTGTCGAAAATCATGAAATTTTGACTGAGAATACGCCGAAATAGGTTGGGGTTGAATTAATTGTTAAAACGTTGAATAGAACAATGTGAACTGCGTCTTTTTGCATAACTCGTAGCGAAAATCAACATGGTAAAGGAAAAATCTCATTATGGAAAAGGGAAACTTAAGCACTTTTTAAAAACACCCAATGAAAAAAGCACCTTTAAGGGCTTTTAAAAATCGGAAATAAGCACCCTTAAGTACTTTTTAAAAATGCTACACCCTCTGTTGAATAATGCAACTATTTGATAAAATTCTATTTCTTGAATCAGTTTTATGTACTGTTGTAAAAAATAATTTCATAACTTAATAAAATATTTAAACTCAGTATATAATGATATTTAAAGTATTGTTATCACCAATAAACAATTTTAACATAAAAGGATACTTTTTTTTAATAAAAATTAACCCCAAAAAGAAAGAAATTGAAGTCTTTCAAGTAGAAGGTAAATATTCATATTGGGTTATTTCATAACTTTATTGAGGCAATATAAAAAAAATTACCAGACTGTGCAAATAATAATTCTATTGAAGGACAAATTAATAAATACAAAATATCGACTTTAATCAGCTGGACAGGCTTAACTAAAACCATATTACAACATAATATATAAGTATATAAGAGCCACAATGGCTTAAAGACACTGAGCTTTCATTCTAAATGACTGGGTTTCAAAGCCCACCCAGCTTCAGATTGATGGGTATCAATTGTCTGGGAAGTAAGGTAGCCTTTGAATAATACTGATCACATTACTGCAATCATGTCCTTAGTCTCAAAATTGTGGAACTTTAACCTCCAAGACCCCTGGCTTTTGTGGGAATACTTTATTTTATGTCAGTAAATAAATAGAACAAATGAATATCTTTTCTACCCAAAAAAAGAACAATTGAACAATAAGAGCTATGGTGGCTCAGGGGATAGCGCACCCCCCTCTTGATAAGGTGAACTGCGTTTGAATCCCAGCGATGGCTTGTCAATACGAATTCTGCACCCGACCACAGTGCTGGCGTAAAATATCCTCAGTGGTAGATGGATCATGGGTTTGAGTTCCCTTACCATCAGACTAATCGTGGGAGGTTTTCCTCTTCAAGTAACACAAATGCAGGTTAGTTTCATCAAAAAATCCGCTATGAAGGCAAAATTTCTCTCAATACTTGATCCTGGAGTTCCCTTGTCTTCTGAATTGGGTTCAAAATTACAAAGCTATGGTATTGAACATTGATAGCCATAAACTCAAAATTGGGTCGGCTGTTTAACGACGGTTATAAAATAAAATAAAATTGAACAATTAAGTTTTTTTTTTAAATCATGCCCAAAATTAAATCTGCAATAATTTTGATTAAAAATCCTAAATGCCAAAAAGATAATTACTATTTATTTAATATCAAATTTAAATAAGAAATCATTTTGGACTGATCATAAAGTTGAGTGGCAAAAAGTTCAAGTTATCCATGACCCACTAAACAAAGGCATTGGCTTAGGGTCAAAGGTAATTGCTTACAAAATTATGTTAGTACCATGATAAAACACTCTGTATCACAAGAATGTGAGAATTTAATTCCAAAACTGGGTTAAAGGATATTGGGTAGATTGTAGAATTTAATTACACAAGAGCAGCATGTAGCCATGTTATGCTAAATTCAAGGTAACTAATTTATGATAATATGCAATCAAGGTAAAATCAAATGGTGATAGAAGTTTGATGCAAAAGAAGAGAATGTGAAGAATAGGAAAAAACTCAAGAAAAAAGATAGATGACATGGCTTCTTAGTATCGTGGCACTTATATTCATTTAAATAAAAGGAAGCCTCTCAGGGCATGATCATTGTAAACTTTGACCCCCATAAGAAATCTCTATCCAAATTGCCATGGGCATTGAATAGAAAAGCTGTAAAAATAATATTAGTCTTTTATTGTCATGTTATTTGCCTATGAATTGTATTTTGATAAATGACTAATTTAGAATTAAATGTTACTCGCCGTCAGAATCACTTTCAATGTCCAAAAGGCTTGGAAGTTCTGAATTGGCACTTTGCCTTTTTGGTCCTATACTTTTTAAGTGACTTAGTCTCGCTATTTCTATAACACCACAAGGTAAAGTTTCTCCTGTAATTAATAAACATAATTATATAAAAGTTATATAATTGATAAACTTACTCTTCATACACAGTAAAATAATGGTTACTAATTGTAAATTTTAATATTGTATTGTTGTACGGTACATAACACTATTTTAAAAAAGAAAGATATTCATAAATTTTTAGTTACAGTGTCAACTTAATAGATTTTTGTTCCATTAACTAAGATTAAAAAAAAGTAAAGTACAAATTTTGATTATTGTTATTAATAAAGGATTCTTGTATGCTTTGAAAGTGAAAGATTGGTATACTAAGTGAATTATTTTGTAAGTTAAAAGCATTAAATAAAGGATATAAAAAACTAAGATTTTTATTGTATCTTTTAGATTAAAATAAAATGCCAAAGACATGCTTTAAAACTTGTTACCTCTTTGCTTCCAAAACCATTTTATTTGTAAACCATCGGTAGCTAGGTAAAAGTTTTTTAAATCTTGCGGTAATGTACAGCCATTCTTCTGCAAAAAAGTATTTAAAATATGAAAATGAATGTATAAGTATTTTATGTAATAATATATAATTCTATAATTAGAAATAATCCATTTAAACAGCCAAAATTAAAAAAGCAAATTACAACAATTTTTTTAATGAACTTACTACGTTATAAATCGTTTATGGCAAAAGAAACTTTTTACTAGTACCTGTTCCCATGCTGTAAGAGCTGCTTCTTGAACATGAGCTTTTTCTGATATAACTGTTGATTTTACGCATGGTAATTTCTCTGAAATTATATTATTTTATAACATTACAACCTTCAGAACAACTAAGAAGATTAGAACATAATAAAAATTACAAATATTTCAGAAAATATTAAATGGAATTTTGCACTAAGTCACCGTTGTGAAGAATTGAGGTTTGCTTTCCGTTCGGATCAGAATAGCAATACCTTTATGACCTTCCAGGCCAACAATGAAGGGGAAGGTGCTTTTTATATGCAATTATAATCTATTACAAAGCATTGTTCGGGATGATGGGGACTCCTAATTCATGCCCTTCTTTAAAATAAATAAAAAACCTTCAAATTTATGGGAAAATTATTTTAACTCTCCAAAATTGATAGGATAATAATAAAATCTATAATTATCGAAAACACTTTTCTAAATAATTGAGAATTTTTGACTTAAAGGAAAGTTTCCAGTTCCTATTTATAGTAAACTGTGAAAAAAAGAAAGAAGAAAGCAATTAACAGAAAATGTTTTTGAAGTATAAATAGTAATACTAATTCTTGATATAGTAATTCTTTCCCAGACTATAATTAAACCAACAATTTTCTTAATTTCATATTTCTTTAGGTAATATATATGGCATAATTAACCTATTCTCAGCAATTTTTATTTAAAACAAAGTGAAATACATAATTTTATCATAACAAAAACATGATTTTATGTTTCTTACTATCAAGTAAAAGCTAACAATTTACAACACTAACAATATTTGTAAATGGGTTTTTCATACCTAATTAAAATAATGTTACATTATATTTGGGAGACTCAGCAAAAAAATTATACCTTGCACAAAAATTTTACGAATAATTCAATCTAAACTACTAATAATATTTAGTACAACAGGACTGTTTTTAGGAACCTTTTTTTAAAAAAAATTTGAAGTCTTAAAAAAAAATTATTTAATTACAAAATTTTAAAACTAACCTAATATTCATTTATAATAAAGCTAAAATATATTAACAAAGAAAAAAGCTTATGGTAACATCATTTTTTGAGAGGTTGAGTCTTCATCTGTAAAATTGATTCAAGGCCTTTAGAGATGCTTTGCAGGAAATAGTTTGCTATAAATTTTCGGGTTAACATTAAAAAAATAAATAAATAAACTTAGTTCTTAACTATTTGTTTTTATTGAAGTTCTTTATTTTCAGAACTTTTCTATACAATGCACCCTTCCTACATTGTTTAAACTTATTTCATTTTGTCCAATTGGTTTAAGAGACTGATTCCGTACAAAAATTAATATTACTCAGAAACTCAAAGTCTTCTTACAAACAAATTATTTCAAAACACAATTTTCATGAAAGTAAAATATCCTTACATTTTTTTAGTAATATCAAAATTTTGCTTGGCATTTTTTTTTCTTAACTTGCTGAAGGTGAATTAAATATTAGTGAATAGAAAATTAAATCTTTAAGCTTACCCTTTATTAAACCATGAAATTATTTTTGAAATATATTTGAAAAATTTTTTTTTATGACATTTCGAAAAAATAGAAAAATATCTTTTTTTTTTTTGTTTTTTTTAAAAAATAATTTCTCAAAAAATGAATAATTTAATGCATAAATATATAATTTAAACTCTCGGTTATTTACTCAGTACATTTTCAAAATTATACGGAAACTTTCTAAAATAAATTTATAAGACATTCATTTTTAACTCTCTATTTGCAAATAAAATTATTAAATTGGAGTTTTTTTGCAAGTAAGAATTTGACACAACATTAATTTAAAGATGATTGCTGTATAATTGAACATTCACAATTTGATGAGTTATTAATTAAATTATTATTAATAGAACTTCGACCTTCCCCAATTTTTAAAATACATATTTGTCCAAGGTTTTCGTCACTATTTAACATAATTTAAAAATTTATTTTAAAACTATTTTATGCCTTATTTAGTTTTGAAAAATTAAAGTACTAATTAGGAAATAAATAGTTAAAATGATTTTTAAAGTACTTTATCAACATTAATAATAAAAAATACTCCAAAGGAAAATAGCCATAATAGTGTATGGTATTTTAGTATTTTCACAAAGTACTTTGGGAAAAACTAACGTTTTGTAACTTTTCAAATGAATATTGGAAAGTAAAATTTCATATCTGATAGTACTACTGAGAAACCAAATTATATTTTTCCGTAAAAAAAGTAACTTACAAATATCAATATTATAATCTAGTAACTTTCCAAATTTATAACGGAAATGAAAATTTCAAATCTAATATTGCTACTTAGAAATCAAATTATGATTTCCAATAAAAAAGGGCAACTTACAAACTTCCTTAATATTTTACAATTATTTAAAAATAATAAAGGGGGGAGGGGTACATAAAAAATCATTAAATATAGGTCATTTTCCCCAAATAAGATGTGGACATAAAAGTTTTGAGAAATTAAAACTAATTCTTAAAAATTTAATTCCTTAGCATCACATAATAATTATAAATCCACTAAAATTTATTAAAAGCAAACACGAAATTAACAAAAAACTTCTTTTTCTTTAGAATTATAAGACTATATTAAATGAAAATATAATTTTGTAAGAGCTAAAAAGTATTATAGTAATTAAGGAAAAGTTTCTCTTCGGTGTAGTTTTATAGTAGCACATCATGATCAATGATACTGATAAAATAAATGCAAATTGTTGAGCCAATTTTTCTTTTAATATTTTATCTTATTCTCTTTCACGCATATTTTTTTTAACAAGATTAGTAAGAGTAAAAATTTAAAAAAAAAAAACGTAACTAGAATCACAGTTTGTGGGGGACCTGTCCCTTCTTTAAAACTGCTCCGTAGTAAACAAAAGGACGTTAAATCAGTTTTATACTCCACTGTAAAGATCTCTTTTGAAAAATTGTCCCTTATAATAGATGATATGACAGTTTTCTTCTGTTTTTTTATTAAATAAAGAACAACAAATTTTTAATATTTCATGAAGTACGTTTGTGTAAAAGTGAAAATCTTCAAGATATAAAGCAGGATAAGAAAAAACTCATATTAAATCAAAAAATATTTAAAAACTATTGAAGTTTTTTGTAATTCTTTTTTAAATAATACAAATATTACCAAAATATTTCACTATTCCTAACGTCAGATTATCAATAAAAAGTGTACGATCCATATTTTAATTCATAATGTAATTGAATTCCGAAACTACAACTAATTGATTGGTTGATTGTACGATTTCTGAGAGCTATTTGTCAATAATGATCCAAAATAAAAGGAAATACTCTTGACTCCAGTACTTTTTCCTCATATCTTATTTATGAACTTTGACTCCAACTTTTCATACGTCAAATGAACACAACACAAAAGCGAAGCTTTCACCGGGCAGATGGTTACCAAGGTAGATTGGTAAACATCGTGAAAAATAAAAGAAAATAAATAAGCTACAAAATATTCATTGTGGCTTAATGACTTGGCATAAACTATGAGTAAATTGTGTTGTACCCATATAGCAGATTATAAAAAGTTAAAAGGAATAGATGTTTATTCTAAAATTCATGCAAACTATATTACTTGTATAAAACAAAGTGCGCGTACTCAAAAGGTATATTATATTTACCTTTTGAATCGACTAATGTTGAAAAAATGACTTAATAAAAATTTATTTTATATTAGCTTACATCTGAATTTTTTTAGACTGTGAACAACATTAAATGTTCACCACTGAACAGCCTTTGATAGATATTAATTTCCTCATGTCTGTATGAAAAACAGTAAAAAAGACATTTTAGTATCTTACAATGACATATAGATTAATAAAGTTTTATTTTTTAGGTGTAAAACGTAAATAAAGGATTAATTTACTTCATTTTTCAGTTTTTTTTAGTAATTGCGTTGTTATGAAGTGCAAGAGATTTTTAAAATTTCTTGTGAATTATTTTGAAACATTTAGTTTTTTATTCATGAGAAAATAGTTCTTAAACTATTTAATTGATGTCTTCAAATATAATCGGGTTTGTCATAAACAATTGAACTACTACAGACAGTTTATCTATTACCAGTAAATTAAAATTTAATCCTAAAAATAAGTGATTCCTTTAATGATTATGTTTGGCATTTCAAGTTAATTATCTTATTTTTGATTATTTTTTTGTACTTATTAGTTTAATTTTTTCATTTTCTGACCTAATTAACCTTCCTATGATGTTGAAACTTGTTAACAGATACTTTATTTAATTTATGCAAATCTTAACGACATTTTAATAATTATTTAAGGCTATCTTTACATAAATTTTAGATGTTTTGAACTAAAATTCTTTTTCAGTTTCACTTCCTATCAAGATATTTGCCCTATAAAGACTAAGTTTCTTATTTACTTCATTATAAATTTGTAACTCCTCAGAAAAATGATTGCATTTTGTTTTTGTAATACCAAATTAACGACTATTATCACATTCCAATTTTCTCTTAGTGCGGAAGAATTCTCTATAATTTTAATGAAACTAAAACTGCTCATTGTATCGAGTATTCTAAAAAATTTAAATAAGGTGTTGCTTTTCCAAACTTTTTTCTACTGCATTATCTTTGTTTAATTTAATAAGTTACTGTATTACTTTAGAAGCTTGTCTTCTTATACTGTCTGTAATTTTTTTCCAAATAATTTTTATGCTTTTAAATACACTATTGGTTTTAAATTTAGGGCATTAAAAAAAAAATTTGAAAAACTTAGGAAAATTTAATAAACGTTACTTGTATGCTGAATGAATCTCATGCCTGTATACATTGTAGGTTGCAATGTAAATAACTTGAAAACTGTTTTATTTCTTGTTCTAAATTGACATACCCTATAAGGTAAAGGATAGATATGATGTTAAATTTTCAGAAAGTAATACTGACGCTCTTAATATTGTCACAAAATATGTAATTAATTTGTAATTTGCACATTGATTCATTATGCTGTATTAAAAGTGAGTACACTGGAAGACTGTAACTTGCTTATCAAATTTCTATTCCTTAATTAATTTAAAATTGTTCTGATCCTAGTTATAATTTGAAAGATTCTTAATGATACAAAGATCAAATTTAGTCCTATGATAGTTCATAGTCAAACTGTTCCACTTTAAAAACCTAATTATCAAGTTTCGTCTAAATCTATTTTTATAAAATGATGCTGATTTTATATATTTTATGTAGTAGAAGGCAAATAAGTTTATTTTGTTACACCAAGGTCAACCTTTGCACTTTGAGAGCGTGGTTATCATTTGTAAATTAATTATTTATTTTAAAATAACTATTTCAAGCTGAATTGTTCTGAATATGCTGATTTTATTTAGTAAGTGGAGATGGAACTTAAATCAGTCATATTTTATATTTAATTTTTGATCTGATTATCAAATCACTATTTGCTAATTGATTGATACAAAATGGTTATTGCCATCATGCTGACTTCATATACCGTTAATGATAGATCATAAGTTAATCCTGTTGCTCTGGGAACAAGTCTTTTAAGTGATTTTTCATTTGATTTGATTTATATTTGTTTTTTATAGTCTACAGAAATGCATCTGGACTATACAGGATTGTTCATTAGTTATTTAATCCTTTACTGTGATGCTACGTTTGGGATCAGAGCAACTTGCTTTTTTACCCAAGAATCCGGTATTTCTGTGTTAGGTAAAATTGAAAGATCTTTTCACCAAGAACTTCTTTTTTTGTTTTTTTTTTTTGCAAATTTTGTGAAATGAATTGACAATCAATATAATTTATACAACAACCAAAATTTTTATTAAGCTGTGCTATTTCTCCTCTTTTTTTTCAATGTACGATTTCTTTATAGATGGTGTTTTCTATACTAGGGAGTGCTGCAGGCTCTTTATCGTGCAAATTTCCCAGTTACTGTATCCTATGTATTTAAGTTATTTGACTTCATGTTAACAGTGAACAGAGTAATTAATAAAAAGACTGTAAAAAGTGAAAACAGTACTCGCTACATAATGATAAAATAAAATGATGAAAAAATAGTAAACATGTGGTTTGAGAGATAATAAAACTTTTAATTAGTGGTGGATTAAAAATCGTAATCAAACATTTATTACCTTGTCAACAATGTACTAACTTTGAGATTTAAATCTAAATAATTCGCAAAATGAATTTTGTCTCACTACTCTAATTAAATACTAACACTAACTTTTTCACGGTGTATTGCTTGCAACAAGAACAAATAGTTATAAACAAGTCAAAATAAGCCTAATCAGGGCGGCCAAATAGCGAGTTCTTTCTAAACATGGCAACCATGTAGCCTTTTTTTAACGATATGCATAACTGAAACAAATTTTCACTTCAAACTCACTCAATATCATTAATATGTTATGAAATGCAGTAGAATTGAGCTTGGAAATTCTAGTAGATTTTTCTTTTATTAAAAACAAAATCTGTTTGAAAATATTGGTTTTCACCTCACTTTCTAATCAGAAGTCGTTGGATAAAGAGCTCAAGATTTGTTTTTGTTTCATTCATATTGAAAACACCATTCATAAAATTTATTTGTCGTTTTTAAAAAAAGTTTCTTATTAGTATTTAAATTTGTTCTTTTTAACTGCTTTTAATGTTATCTAAACCTAAAATTATTGCAAGATTTTTTTCATATGCATTAGGTTCTTATTTTTTGCCTTATTTTATCGCTTAATTTTTCTTTTAGATAAGGGAATGTTTCTGCCATATCTGTAAAACTAGATCTCATCGACTTCATGCTTGTCTAGAATGCTCGTTTGTTGGTTGTTTTGACAGAGAACATATCCAAGCACATGCTGATCTTAATAAACATTCAATTGGTAAGTTTTCATTATTGATCCTAAAATATTAGTTTTTGGGGAATGCTTAGTAAATATAATCTTATATAACATGTGAAAACTCATAAATTAATGAGAAACTTTGTTTAACCTAGTAGACAATGTTGGATGAATTTTGCAAATTCATCTTTACTATTAAATTGTACATAATACAAGACTTCTAATCTCATTGATTTTTAATTTCACTGTGCTTATGTCCCCATTAAAGCTAGAAAGCTTATTACTTAACTAGTCTGCAGATTAATTTGGGTGATCCGTTAAAGTGCGGAAGCAAGAGTTTTCTACATTTTACCTAGGTAAATTGCTCATTAATGTCTAACAAATGTCTCATTAAAGTTAAAAAGTTTGTCTCTCTTAGTCTGTTAACTAATTTGATGGTTATTTTAAGTTGATTTTTTAAATATTAAAAATAAATGTCATTATGTTAATTTCTTTAATTGAAATAATATTTTAAACTATGTGATTCTAGGTATTATCTTTTTTTTTTTATAAAGTGATTGAGTCTATCAACTATTTCATTGATTGTTTGGTAGTAATTAGATTTTTTAGATAGTGAAAAATAAATAAGTAACATGATGTTAATTTAAGTGTACATAAAACAAAGCTTTATTTTCTTTAGTAAGTGCTTAGTAGTTAATGAGTAGATTATCTAATTAATTTGGCAAATGAAACAACAAATCACCTTTGTTAATCAGCATTTTAGATAGATAATCTCTTGAATAAGCGATTTCTACATTTTAGAGGTGTAACATCTATATTTAATACAAATTCGATTTAATTGTATTATAAGAAAACCGGTGCTTTTTGATTAGCTGGGCACAAGCAAAAAGTTGTCGAAAAATTTTGACCTCCAATTTTGTTTAAAACTTGTTTGCTTCTTTTAAAATTTTATTTATATTTTTAAAGACTATTAAAAATAGACATTCACAAAAATATTGAATAACATGTCAAAAAAAAAGTTAAAGAAATTTAAAAAAATAGTTGAATTTCCTTGCATTTGGCTAACCAAAAAGTGCCAGGAAATCTTAGTGATTAGAGAGCTACATCATTCCATTTATTAAAAAATATATAAAATTTAGCTTCATTTTCGCCTAGACTTGTCATTCTTATCATTTCTTAAAACAAGAACACTTTGAACTTATTTCTGTTGCCAGATGGCACCACAAATAAGATAAAATAAGAAAACTTAATGGCTTTGTGTCTCAAATTGAGTTAGCCCACTGTTGAAATAATATATTCATATGACATTCCACTTAATCTAAATTTTATTTTCAATTATTATCTAACATTTATTAGAAATTAGAAATCTGGTTTAAATGTATTGAAATTTAAGGGAGATATTTTAATTTAATATTTATTTGTTGTTGTTATTGTGTAATTAATTGATAATTTATATAAAAAAAAAACTTCACTCGCACTAATGTACCATATAAGTTTTATTGATTTCGGAAATAGTTGTGCTCTGGAAAAAAATCCAGATTTTTGGATTTTTCACTAATTGCGGTCCGAAAGTTTCCGGAAATCCAAGATCCAGAAGTTTCAAGAAATCAACAATCACATTTATGTGTAAAAATTCTTGTATATTTCATTTAACATCTCTTTCATTAATAAATATTTTTTCTGGTAGAGAAATAAATGTGATTAGAGATAAAAGTAAACTTATACATAATTATTGATTTAAATTATACTACATATAATTTACTTAGAATTTCAGGTTTTGAAAAGATCAATAATTTTAAATTATAAAGACATTAATTGTTTGAAATGCTTCATTAATGATTTTACTCAATAAATTTTCAGGATTTTTGAGTTGGACTCACAATCACCCCTGAGATTTTTAATTGATTTTCAAGTATGAAAAACTAAATTATTTTTATATCATTAATTAAACTGATGATAAAAGTTATGTGTGTTGTTTTTCTGAAATCACATAGCTTTATTTATAAATTCTTAAAATATTTGAAAATTTTGTTAACTGTTGGTAAAATTGTAAAATATCTATTTGATTTAAAACAATATTTTTATTTTTTTCCTACAGTTTATTGTTACCTGAAAAAACAGTTTGCCAAGGCTTATGATTTTTTTTTTTTTTTTAACATAGTCATATCGGAAGGTTGAATTTGAGTTTTCAGTTTTATATGATGTTTTATGTTATGTATTAGTGTAATTATTTTTATTTTAAAACAATTCTGCATGATAGAACTTTTTTCAAAAAAAATATTTTTCACATTGACTTGTTAATATACTTTTAAAGTTGTTTTCTTTTTTAAATTGTTTCTCACTTAAATTGTTCACATTAAATTTTCTTCTTTTCAGCTATTGATGTCACATTTGGCAATGTCTACTGCTTCAGTTGCAAAGATTACATGTATGACATAGAACTTAATTTGTCTAAGAGATATTCTGGTAATTTGTTTTGTTACATTATTTATTGTTTTTCACTGGCTTTTAAACTTTTTATCTTTCTAAAATAAAGTAATATTGATAAATTTCATATCTTTGAACTGTTATTAGTTTTTTTGACTATTCAAGAGCTTGATTTATTTTAAAATGGCTATTAGTTAGGCTTTATTCTAGGGTAACAAGAATAAATCTTCCCTTCGTTTTTAAAAATTAAATGACATAATTCATTATAAATAAATATTTTGTTTATGTATTATAATTATGAAGTTATTGCTAAATCTCCTACTCTGACCACTGTTAAGCAGTAACAATATGTTAGAAATAGCCATGTGTTTATAGAACCTAACATCTTTCATAGGCTTAATATTAGAGTGAACTTCCCAAAAACCCTCCCTGAATGACATAATTAAAAAATCAATTAATACAAACATTTATTTATAGTTAAATGACTTAATTCACTGTAAATAAATGTTTTTGCTTATGCATTATAATTAGGAAGATACATTTAAATCTCCTTTAACGGCTATCATTAATCTCTGAGGAAAAGCCATATGTTTAAAGAACCAAACATCTTCCATAGGCTTTACATTAGGGTCAACCTCCAAACAGCACTCTCTGAATAACGATCTCCCATTGCTAACATCAATTTTGTTTTAAGGTTCCCTTAGTTAACTGTTTTCACATTTTTTGTCACTAATTTGCAATAATTTAAATTGATCGCTACTGAGCACATTCCAGTCATTGTAAAATAACAATTTTTAAGCATTCTTGCAAAAATGAATCATAGATACAATTGGACAGCACAATTCCGTCTACTACAGAGAATCTGCATCTTTCATGATGATCTACATGAATCTTGCTCTAGCGTTCACAATAGGTGGTAAATTATGTGTCATTGCTCGGCTTTCATTTCATGAAATACGAAGAAATTACTTGTGCATAGATGCCAACTTGCTTCAGACAGCAGCAAAATAATTTTGAGTGGTAGTCTTTTAATGTGTAATTCTTGTTCAGTAAATTCGATTTATAGTAAATCGATATTATTCGATTTACTCACCGCTACTACTAAATAATTTAAAGCCTTATGTGATATACCACTTTTTTACAGTTATGTTGAGCTGACCCTTTTAAAAAGTTGGCAAAATTAGTCAAAAATCAACAAATTTTAGTTTTCAGTCCATTTTTTAAAATATTTGTCAAATCCAAGGCAATTGGCATTTCTGCTCTTGCAAGCACAAAGAACAAATCTTTGCTGTTGGATTTTAGTTTTTTTTAGTTCTTGATACTGGTACAGATGCCATAAAGAAAATGTTACTGATTTAAATAGGAGTGATAATCTCGAACCGAAATTCTTTACACTCAAATATAAAATCGAAATTAATGAAGACGTTAGTAAGAAAAAAACCAAGTGGAAAGATTAAAATGAAAAATGCAATTTAATAACTTGTAAAAACAAAATGTGAACATTATTAGATCAGTATCAATGAATTAAATGTACTGATTAGTATTTTTTTTTATTTTTGAACAATCAAGTCATTGATAACTAAGAATAACTGCCACCTCTTAACACTAATCGCATAGGTAAATACAGTCCAACAAAGGAATGTTGTTGGGAGATTTCTTTGTAAAAGAAGAAATTTTATAATTATAATTTATGAAAATTTACTTCTAGTAATCATTTAAATGCTTAAAATGGCCTTTAAATACTGTTTTAAAATTCCTTATTTTTTTCTAATGTATTCTACAAAAATATGTTCAAAATTTCCTATAAATAAATTGTGTAGTTTATTTTGGTGCAATTATAATACTCTGTTATAAATTTTTAATAACCATTTATTTATTTTATGCTAATCTTTCACATTATATGACATTATTATTTACCAAAACTACAATTCTGTTTAGTAACTTATCATAAAACTGTTTTAGTTTGATTGATATTTAAATACAAATAGAGGGTTTCAAAATTTTATTCGTGAATGTTATAAAAATATTTACCATATTATGATATTTATTGTTTTCTTTCTATTAAATTTTTAAAAGTAAGGTGTATTGTTTATTAACTAAATTAGTCCTGCAGTGGATTGATCACAAGACAGATCCCAGTAGATCTCCAAAGTGAGGGGATAAGGTACCATTTTGACCAGTTTTAGAGCAGACTGAGGGTGTGAGGTATCGATCCTCATTAAACTGTTCTACCATAAAGTACTCGACTTTGCTTGCATGTCATCAGGCTACCAAAGTAGGGAAGTCATTCTCTATGTGTAGGATCAAAATTTTGATGGCATATTTTCAGATCATCCTGAAGTATAATTCTCAGATTGTCGCCAATAGCTCATTGTGCAGTGTGGTGTAAATAAAGAACTACCATTAATATTAACTACTTATTACTTTTAATTATAATATTATAAACTAATTATGCTACATGAATATATTAATTATTCTACATGTTATGTAACTAGAGTGCTTCAAATTTTTGCTTGCGAATGATATTAGCCTTGTTGAGAAATTTATTGTGTCCCCTACATTAAATTTTGAAAAATAAAGTTTGACATTTATTATCTACTTCACAATTTATTTTTGTAAATTATATTGTTATTTTAAGTAATTACTCTACGTTCATTCATTATGCTATTATTAATTATTAAAACATTATTATTAGTTATAAAACATATTTATTCTTTATTAATTATTAAAACTAAGTACTCTAGTATAGTAACATACATTATAATAAAATAAAAACTCAATTCTAGATTGATTCGTAGTATGCTAATTGCATATAAACTGAAACAGCCATAGAAAATCAACTGAAATGATAATTACAAATCAGTTAAAATGGTAATTGTAAATCAGTAGCTCACTAATTTACATTACCAATAGAGTTTCATCAAACACAGTGCATCATTCAATGTGGCCTATTTCAAATCAGTAGTTCACTGATTTCTAATTACTATTATAGTTTCATCAAACACTGTGTTACTCAATGTTGCCAATATCATTTACAATTTTGTAAATAAATTAACAGACTTCTATCCTTGTAGGTTTGTGGCAACCTGGAGAAAGTGATACAACTTTGATTAATGCATGTGAAAGTGGGAGAATTGTTCGCAGCAAGTTTCTAGGTAAAGTTATTTTTCTGTAGTTTTTTTTTTAAAATTCTTTCTCATAAGTTGTGTTGCTTCTACAGAACATAACTTTGATGGATTCTTCTGAATTCCCACTTTGGTTTGACTGAAAATTTTGTAGTTCGCATGATAGCACTGCTTTTCTGTTAACGTTTTTCATTGTAGCTATTGTTCGTATACTAATAGAGAATTGAGAAATTATAATTTAGGGGTTTGTTATGACAGAGAAAAGTACATGTTTTTTCTTATTGTTCAATTTTGTGGATTGATTTTATTTTTATTATTATTATTTAAGAAACATCATAAATGTTCAAATGCATATATATATATATATATATACACACACGCAGTGAAGCCTCCTGTTATGGACACTCCTGCAAAACGGACGCCTCTCAATACGGACATATTTTTAATTCCCTGGTAATCTTCTATGAATAAACCATTATGTACATTCTCCTCAAAGCAGACACTCCCTTAACCGGACGCGGACAGTCATTTTGGCCCTGAAACATTATTTTCTACCTCTTCAAACCGGACACTACTTTTTCTAAATTTAAAAAAAAAAAAAAACTATTTCTGCTTTAAATTGCAAGGGGAAAAATAAAACTTTTTGCCTTTTTTAAAACAGGTTTATTTTTTGCCTTATCCATAACTAAAAATATAGTTAAATTATAGTTATTTTACTACTAAAGAATCAATCTTTCTCCTGTCACCTTGCCTTATCCTTGTAAAGAAAGTAGAGAAAAGAATACTACTCTCCTGAAATAATTCGGGCAGCGGCATATTTTGATCTTTTCATCTGGACCACACAGGTTATGAGACCCTTGGAGTTGAAATGACATCTTAAATGCTCTCAATGCTTCATCCCCATTGAAAATTTCTTTAATATTCTTATCTATTTGAAGGCTGTATTTGACACAGCTGGAGTAAAAAAGAGAACAGAAATATAGTCTTTGATGTGTTCATATAAATGACACACTTATTCAGACACTTGATAGCTGATCAATTGTGAATAATCAACTCCATAGGTCCTCATTACTAAACTGTGAATCATGGGAGTTTAACTTTCAAGAAGGTATTAATCATGTTCCCTATCAAATGATAGGTTGGTGTAAGGGGATTTAAACCTAATAATTGAAACCGACTAAGGACTGAAAGCTCCCATTCGGTATCATATGTCTGACTTGAGTGATCTGTTGATAGGAAAATTATATTCATTTATCTGTAGCTACATCTAGAATTATGTATTTCTATCAAACTTCTTTATATATTCTATTTTATCTTTCTTAATGTTTAAATAAATATCCTTGCAGATAGATATTGTAAATTATTTAATTATTTCTACTTCTTTGAAAATATTCTAAAAACAATTAACTGTGTTAAACTTCATTATTAGGGTACCCTTCCTGTAAGCGGACAACTCTCCTAAACGGACAATTTTTTCGGTCCCTAGAATGTCCGCTTAACAGAGGTTTTACTGTATATATATATAGTAGAACCTAGATTCATCGTTCCCACATCTTTTATTTTTTCCGTAACTAATTTTTTTTATTGTATTATAGTTTTACTTTTTCTATAATTTTTTTCATCAAAATTTACATAAATTGTATTATATGGGTTATTCGACTAGATGGAACAAAGCATTACCCGACCATCCCAGTTAATCAAGAGACTACTGTTTATATAGATATATAGTTATAATATATTTATATATATATATTTATATATTATTTTTAATTTAAAAAAGAGAAAGAGTAAATTGTAAACATTAAATAAAAAAATTGAATTCTATTGAATAAAAGTTAAATGGAATTTTGTTATTTGATTTTAGTTAATGATATAAAATTTTGATAACTATATACTTAATGTAAAAAATCAATTAAAAAGCAAACTCTACCTTTCCTTGGTTGAAAAGTAGGTTCTTACTGTTTTGAAATACTTTTGTACCTTATTGAAAAATAGAATTACACTGATACAAATGTTATTTTATGAGTGATGCTAATGTGATTTAGTTTTATAATATTTAGAATTATTTTTTTTTCTTGCAGGCTTAAGAGGACTTGTCAATTTAGGCCAGACATGCTATATGAATTGTATAGTTCAAGTACTAACACACAACCCTCTGTTAAGAAATTATTTCCTATCTGATAAACACAACATCTACACATGCCAATTTAATTGTGATCGACAAACTTGCTTAGCTTGTGAAATGTCTGCGTTATTTCAAGAAGTATGTATTTAATTTGTTTTTATTTGTAAATGGATGTAGGATGCCAAAAATTTCAAAAGAATTGTTCCATAATGAAATGCCTTCCACAAAAATTACTTGATTGCCATGGCTAAAAGATCTATTTGAAATCTATAATACAAAAAATGATTCTTGAATCGTGAATCTGAAATCCATTTGCTCTACTAGTGATGTTTTTTCCCCCTCAGTTTAAACTGCTTTTTTTTAATAAAATAAGTCATTATAGGGCTAATTATTAATAATGACACGTTTTTAGTCATCAAAAACCTGTCTGTTGCATGCATTCACTGGTGGATTTGTGAAGTAGCAAAATTCCATGCCATGCTGCGAATTTTGCTACTTTATGAAAATGACTCTCTGCATCTCAGATCCCAGCTTTATTGGACTCTTTTGGTTGGGAAGTTTTGGACCACTCTTTCTACAGCCCAGACCTTGCGCTGAGTGGTTTTTCATCTTTTCCATTATTTCAAACATCAATTTAATAGCAATCACTGCAACAGTGACGAATACGTGAAAACGGCCATGAATTCTTCATTAACGGAGTACAAACTTAGCAACTATGCTGGAGAAAACGAGAAACGTCTGTAGAATCTGAAAATAAATTTGCTCCTTGAAAAATTTCTTTAGTTGGGTTTTTATCTTTAACAGGGTTCCCACAGGTCAGGGAAAACCTGGAATTGTCAGGGAATCTTATTTTAACTCCAAAAATAACCAGTCTTAAAATTGTTAGTAACAGTAATCAGTTATTGAAATACGAGTTAAATAATTCTAACATCTATTACAATTATTTGTTGTAAACATTTCACATTATAGTCAAACTGAAATATTCCCTTCCTCCATTAATAATATTTTTTTACACACAGAAAATCTAATATACCACATTACAAATAAACGAATCACAGTATTCTGATGAAAATATGGTCTCAATTTTCATTTAAATTTACCTGGTATACCTTGAAAAATCAGGGAATTTTTTTGTAAAATTGAGTGGGAACCCTGTTTCAAACGGTCCTTACTTTAAAAATAACCCTCCTAATAAATTAGATTAATATTTTGGTTGAGTTTTTTTTTTAACTATGTCCACAAGAAAATCGATTATATTTAAAACGTTATAAGCTATAAATTATTTAAATTTTTTCCTCTTCCCTCAGTTTTACTCAGGCCAGCAAGTACCACACATTCCATACAAACTAGTTTACATAATTTGGAAGCATGCCAAGCACTTAGATGGCTATGATCCACAAGATGCCCACGAATTTTTTATAACAATGCTTGACGTCCTACACGAGCATTCAAAAAGTAAGTTCCTTTTATTAGTCTTTTTTTAAATGAACCTTCTATTTATGCTTTAGGTATTGTCACATAAAGCTATTATAATAGAACATGATTTGGTAATTTTGAAATTTATAAATTTTTACTGTTTAGTTATTTTTCCTTCTTAAATTTAATCTAGTATTTGATATTTTAGTATTTTTTTAACTATGTAGCATTATTCATTTCATTAAGTGTTTTTGCTGCAGAAGAAGGTTCCAACTGCATTAGGCTACAAATGACCTTTGAAAACGTCTCTTTTATCAGAAAATTAAATTAATCGGTAATAGGAATTTGAATGCTATGTTATGAATAGCTAGTGTTAGGGCTTTATAGATTTTGCTTTTTGCAAGCTTGTTGACATGAAATAAAAGGATAGCATAATTTTTGTAATCAGAATTTAAACCTCAACTGATGCAACAAATTGAGTATGTTCAGTCATAATTCGGAAAAGAAAATAACCAGTGCTCAAAAACAGTATTGTCTTCTTGGGAATCACTTTTAAATCATTTTCTAAAGACACTGCTATGCTGTATTGGTCAAAGCTATTTTACTCAAGGTACTTAGACCTTTTGATTGTCACTTTGAAGTTTTATTCACTTAGCTCTGCAATTGTTATCATATTTTTGTATTTCGGTTAAGATATTTGTTTTTATAAGTAAGGTTTTAAAGCTTAAAACAAATTCTTATTTTCTGATGATTTTGTCTTTTATGTAAAGTTTTAATGTAATATTTTTATACATAATTTATGCCTCTAATATTTTTTATAGCAGAATAGCCCATTTTCAAGCAATCAAGATTTTCATTTCATTTGAAATAAAATGTAATTTTATTGCTTTAAAATTTTTTTTATTTAGCAAATTTCTTCCTTGTACAATCTATAGAATTGAACACATTTCTGTCATCTATATTGTTTTAATTTTGATAAAAAAAATTTAGTTTTTAATTATTAATTCTGTGTAGGAATAATTTAAAAATAAATTTCAGAATATTTATTATCTCATACAACTTATAAATACTTTGTATTATTGTACTTGTGCTTTTTTAAATGGTCAAATTTGTGATAATATTTCTCATTTATACTTTTCTAATTTATTCAGTAATGTGAAACTGGTTTATATAAAATTACTCACAGGTTAAAATGCTATTGCTATCTGTCAGAGTATACTGTGAAAGGATTAATGTGTGTTAATATCTTATATCAAAATATTTATTACCAAATTATTTTTAATTCAAGAATAAATTTTGTTTCAAATGTAGCTTTTTAAGCAAAAGTTTTATTTATTTATTTTTATTTAGATCCGAAAGAAGATGATAGCTCTTGCCAATGTATTATCCATAAAATATATACTGGTCGCTTACAATCTGATATTCTTTGCATGCATTGCAAGTAAGAATTTCTCTTCATATTTAAATAATGTTTTTTTTTTTGATCAAGAGCTTTGTTAGTTTGATTTTTCGTATACAATCTATTTTTATAAAGCGAAACTTGTGTGTGGGCTGTAAGTTAGGAAAATTCCATTATACAAAAGTGTCTTTTATGAATTAGTGATTCATTATAGATCACAATTATAATCTAGTTTTTGTCATTTAAGTAAAATAAAGGGATCAATAAAACTAATTATTTATTAATTTTAATAAACTTTTCTTGAAAGTGCTTTTTATTTTAACAAAATCGTGCTATTTCAACTGAGACCGACAATTTAAATATTACCACTATTATAAATCATTGTTTTTACATTCTTTCCATTGCTTAAGTACAGTCAGCAAAAAAAAAAAGATATCACCCTGAATAACTTTTGTTCTAATGATCGGATTTTCACGAACTAAGTGTCAATCTTAATGGTTCCTGGGGGTGACCTCAAATATGCTAATTAATTAGTGCTAACTATTAATTAAGTTACGAAATCAGACACAAAAACGTACTTTCTCTGAATAAACATATATTTTTTTTTACATATTTGGA